TTTAAAATAAGATGAATATTATTTGTAATATTGTATTATAGAGATCATATTATAATAACTAATATTATACTACCTCATTTACAATTTGTTAATTATATTTTATAAAAAATCTGAAATCTTTAAAAAAGAAACTTTTTTTACTTTTTGTAACTTAATTAACTTTTAAATCACTAGTAAAATAGAATATAGAACAATTTTATTAAGTAAAAATATTTACATATAATGATAAATAATTAATATGAGATTAAATACTCTTTTTCTTTATATTAATAGAATAGGATGTAATATATTAACTGATGATATAAATTTTAAAATATTAATTTTTACTTCATATAATATCACAGCTACCTTTTTATTCATCTAATTTTAAGAATAATAAATTATATATATGAAAATCTAAACATTTTCATTGGATTTTTCTTAAATAATATACATTTTATATTTTTGCATCTTTTCAATCTGAAATTAATTTCTTCTAAAAATCTATCATAAGTTTAAGTATTAGAAAAATATAATATTTAAAAGAGAAATAGTTGAAATTACTAATATATGTTTATTATAATATTATTGTTATAGTTTTATTTAAACTTTTTTCAGTATTTTGTTCTTTAGCATTATGAAGTTTAAGAATAAAATATGATCAGAATTGGAATTATAGAAAAACTAACAAAATACATATTTAATACTCACAAATTGCATTTATTTAGCTATAAAAAGTTGCCTATTTTATAAATATAATATAATATTTTATCTTTTTTATCTTAATATTTTATTTTATTATATTTTATTTTAAAATTTTAGTATTTTGGTTAAATTTATTTTATATAATATTTCAATTTAATTTATACTATTGTAGTTTATTTTATATCATAGAAGCTCATTAGGGAACATTTGCAGGACGAGTGGGGGTGTTTTCTCTGGAAATGTTTTGTGTTCACGTAAAATTAATTTCTATAACAAAACACTGCACCCCATGAGGGTAAACTTTTTAAAAAAAAGAAGTATGAATGATAATACAAAAAGAAAGTTTGGTTGTTCGAAATAGGGTTAAGCCCGTTTATCAACCTGAATTTTGCAATCCCTGAAGGCCCAGTGGGAACAAAGCAACAAAAGCAAGAAACTAATGTGCATAGGGTTTAATATACCTATATTAAACTAAAATGAAAAAAAAATTCTCCTCATATAGTGAACAATTACACTTCATTTAACTGAACAGGATAATATACCTGTATTTTGGCTTTATGTTATACTGTTGTAATATACATTTTATACGTTAATAAGATCAAATATGGAACGGCCGAGTACAAATTACGTTGTTATCAAACGTAAGCTACAAATATTGTACCATTTTCAACCCAATTTAAATTATTCACTTTTTGAAAAGAATTTTGATTATGCGACGTATTTTGTGGTTTCATATGTGCAGCATGCAGCAGAATTTTTAACAGAAAAAATGCTGTATTGGCATATGGCGAATCAAAATAGATGTTTTGAATATGAATTTATTGAAAAATTAACATAAAAAAGCATTAAATAAAGCAAGTTACTATCAATCCTTATTTAAGAATTAAAAACCTTTAATCTTATACTTTAAACGTTGATTTTTGTGGCAGTCACTTCTTTTGTTGTGACAGGAGGACAGGTTCCTCCGTAGAGATTTATGGAAGAACATCCTTCTTTGTAGATTCCGTTACGAGGATGACTACTTGTAGTATTTTTATATTTAATTTTTCGGGAGACTTTTATTATTTATAGATGCAATGCTGCTCGTGAAACGAAAAAAATGGTTTACTTGTAGATTCCAGCGAACAATTTCTCTCGAAAGTTGACTTGCTCTACTTCTACTTATAATTTATAAATTTTTCTGTACATACATTTGTATTTTTGAAATATTGTATACATGTACTCTTTAGATTAGGTAGGTCACATTTATTTCGTGTCCTAACTCCTATCAAGATAAAATTTGCAAAAAAAGTTACATATACTATTTACACAACTTTTTAAACAAAAACTTCATTATACACATGATCAGACTAATGTATCAAAGGCGAAATCTCTGAAACTTGGTGAAATTAGTTTAGCTACAAGTGTGAAATTCTGTAATATAATTGATTGGTTGAAGTATGAATAACAATACGGCGAAAATGATAAATCGAGTAATATATTAAATTTAGATACAGCGGTTTATGAAATTATTGTTCTTTTATTTTACTTTAGTTCTCTGATTTTCCTGATTTTAAATTTAGAAATTTTTTTAAGATTATATCTTATCTAAGAAATTATAATTTAACAAATTGAATAATATTTATATTGACGCAGCAAAAATGATACATTTATAAAACAGAACTTGGCTGCATAACTGTAAAATTATTAAAAACAGCAGATTTTGCAGAAAAATTTGCTTATAAAAATTACCAGAATAAAGAGGTCATTATTTATCGCTCTCATTGGATAGAACTAGCTTTCAATGCAATTGTTAAGAAGAGCTCTTTCATGATTTGAATATCATCTCTTGTCTCTTTGAATTCAGCTTTTAATTCTTTAAATTCCGATTTAAAATCATTTTTAATATCCACTGATTTCGGCCTTAAAATCGGTTTTAAGATCCTTAATTTCGGCCTTAAATTCGTTTTTAATATTTTTTAGTTCGGCTTCAAATTTTTTTTTCAAATTTGTTAATACCTTCTTTAACGTCATTTAGGCCTAGGTTAAATGAGACGTTCACTAGAAATGATATTTGAATCTTCACCTACCATTTGTGATTGGCGTAATTTTTTCAGAGACAATATAATTCACAGCTACAGCTGTGACTTGTGAGCGTGCCTGTAGTTCCGACAACTGCAACCGCAGGATACGCTTTTTTACAATAATCGACTGAGAAATTCATTATATAAATTAGTTCATCTTATCTCATAAAAACAAATAAAAACAATATATATATTTTTTCTTCTTACGAATTCGGTTATTATTGTTGACGATTTTCGAATAATATTTTGTTTGATATAAAGAACTGAAGAAACTTTGGTAGGAACATTTTTTATTGATGTTTTAAGGATTGACCTGGCAATAGGTATCATATATAAAAAATTTAGATTAAGAAATAATTAGAAGAACGATTTAAAAACTAAAAAATTTATGAAATAATCAGAAAAATGATAGAAAAAAAAATCTATATATATATATATTTCTCAGATACAAAATCTTTGATGCAATATCGTTGATTGTTATGAATAATAATAAACCTCCTTATTCATCGCGGAATAATCAAAATATCATTGTTTCGATAATTTTGGTGCCTAGAAAGTTTTTCTCACAAAAAATTAAAATTGTCTCATTTGAATTCCCTTATTTATATGAAATCGGAGCTTGGGAATGGAATTCCGAAGCATATACACCTCTTGTTCGGTAACATCCCATATTGTTTGTTTACATATCATTACCGAAAAGTTGGTCGTCATCATAATAAAAGTATTTTTAAATATGTTAAATTACTAAAGAAAATATGGGGTATTGAGTAAACATTATTTTTTGAAAAAATTAAAATGAGAATTTGATTTGTTATAAGTTTAAAATACGTTTACGGTATTCTTAAACCCTAGACAAAAGTAAAAGAAAAAATTTCAAAAAATACATGATTACATTCCGATTCTTGGTTCTTTTTCTTTTTCTTTATTTTAAATAATAATAATAATAATAATAATAATTTTTTTTTTTTAAATAAATAACTTACCCAAATTGTTCATATTGATTGAACTTTTTTTGATAAGGCGGTTCAATTATTTAGGCGATGACAAAGATGAAAGATGACCTATTCTCTAATAATCATTAAAGTTTTAGCATCTTTTATTTATTTATTATTAATAAGTTATTGTTTCAAAACCTGTTAGAATCAAGTAAAACTGACTAATTAATTAAAGATTTTTGAATGTTCTCTTAAAATTTTTTTATGTACAGTATCAAAATTCATTGTAGAATTTTTTTTTTAAAATCATACGACTCATTAAATCATATAGCTTGTTTATTTTTATGTCTCACATATATGTTTGTACCATTATTAATAATTATTAATAATTTGCTTTAAAAAAAAAAAAAAAAGTTTTAAAGTAAACCAACATATTTTATTAAAACATAAAGTTTTTTTTTTTTTTCATTATTGATTGTTCTTTTACAGAATTTTATTACCTCAAAAAGATTTATGAAAATAACGCCTCAAATGATCACATTGTTCTGGTGCTTCTTTTTGTAACTCTTTTTAGACGTCTGGAACAAACATATGGAACCTCTTTCCCATAGCTCGTTAAAACGCGAAAAAGGAAATATTACAGACTGATCTGCAATATCATAATCACGGGTTTGGCCCGTTTGACCTATAAGATCACTGATTTTGGTTCAACAAGCGATTTAACAAATATGTGAAATACAGTATACTTTTCTTTGCGTATTCTAATTACAATAATTTATAAAAAAAATCCCTATTATTCTATTCTTTTACAATTAAAAACATAATATTCACTGAAATAAAATGATTTAATGTGACAAGTAATTTTTTTATCATCCACAAATAAAAAGATTCAAATACATCGACAATAGCAAGTTGCGTAACATTGATATTATATTTATTTAGATTCTTAGATTTGGAACAAGAATTTTTTTTTTTTAGAATTAATTTTTAAAATGAATTATATTAAAATCGTATATTGTTTTAACAACTACTGCTTGAGTCTATACATTATAAACAAATCATGCGCAATATTCTGTGTGTAATATTACGTATACTAGATTATTGCGACATTTGAAAGTAGATGGATCAGTTCCCCTGATTTAATGATAAAAAATATATTATTTATTATTCGGTTAATATTCGGCTATGATTATGTACATATTTTTTATTTTTAAGTATTTCCAACCGGTTATCAGGAAAAAAAACTTATATATAAACGCTAAATTTTATTCACTTTTTTTCCCAGATTCCCTCTTTTAAATAACTTTTTATTTTTAAAATGTCAAAAGAAATTATCGAATCCATGGCCATCTCATTACATGCTAAGTTGGATAGAAAAAACATATTTCCGCCGCTATACAATGACCCCGAGTCATACGTCCCTCCCGTCTCTTCAAATGATAACTATCGACAAAAGAGGATTCCCAATGCCTTTCTTATGTGTAGAAGAAACGTACATATGGAAGCGAAACATAAGGGATCTTTTGATATGCGTGTAATTAGCAAAGTTACAGGCATTTTTTGGAATAATGCGTCTTTTGAAGAAAAGACAGTTTATAAAAAACTGTTCAAACGTGTGAATGAAATTTATCATGAGAGAAAATATTCGCATTTGTTAATTCCTACTCCTTCTACTCCTTCAAAAGATTTGGAAGAAACTCCAATGATTTATTCCTCCTTCTCTTCCCCTCCAACTATTTCACCTCCACTTTCTATTACGACTAATAATATAAATCCACAAAACTTTTTTCATGATTATCAAACCAATGAATTGTTATTATACGATTTATATGATACCATTTTTTTAATCTAAGATTTTTTTTTTTATACAAGTATTTAAAAGATTCTGATCCAAAATTTTAATATAATTTTTATATCTAATTTTATTACAAAATTATTATATAAGTTTAAATTTTATTATAAATTATACAATTATATGTTTTTTAAATGTATTCTTTTGAGATACAAATTTTTTATAAAAATATTAAATAAGCTTGCTTTGTTTTTAAATGTTATTCTTTTGAATTATTTTTTTCTTAAAAAAAAATCATTATATTATTATTAGGATAAACTATTTTCTTTCTTTCTTACATATAAAATATTACAGATAGTTATTAAATTTAGTAAGAACTTTATTTAATGATTTAGGTAAGTGAACTGTGATTTTTAATTTTGGTTTAGTACATATTCAAATATATTTACCTTACCTTTCTGTAATTTTAAATTATAAATTTTACCATTAATTTGACATTTCAAGTACAATTACGGTATATCAAGAGATTATATGTAGTAAAAATAAAAAATAATAATAAAATAAAAATAAAAGTCATCAACTACAAAAGAATATTACGCTCTGGTCATGTTATTTCAAGTCATTTTCCGAAACCCTAAGGATATGTAACCCCTGCTTCAGATATCCTAGATTATAAATTTTACATGAAAAACAACCTCCAAATTGTTCTCACGCAAAATAAAACAAATACGTAAGCATAAATCATTGTTTTGATTATAAATTAAACCATATACAGAAATATAAAATTTATGATTTAAGGCGTTTTGTGTATGTGCAACTGGTAGGAAGTGTTACCATATTTATAATATTTAGATAAAAACAAGTTAGCTAAAAAAATTTCTAGAAGTGAAAGAGCAAAATCCCTTGAAAGCATGTCATATATTTCGCTTATAAAAAATAATAAAATTTTACCATAATCAGATCTTTTATCACGTGTGAAATGAGTATTGAGTGAGGATTCTGGAAGAATTACATTGCCACTTGTCGTAGCAGAACTGCTAGAAAGGCCCAACTCGATGGAGTTGAGAATTGTCGCCAGTAGGAAGTGACAGTACTCATTTGCCGAATGATTGGTACAAAGACTAGGAGGATTATATCGCTCCCCTTCAACCGAGTTGCCACTGGTCGTAGCAGCCCAACTCGAGTTGAGAATTGTCTCCAGGAAATGATCTGAGTTCATTTGATGAATGTTTGGTACCAAGACTCTAGGAGGATTACATCGCTCCCTTTCAACCGAGTTTCTGCTGGTCGTAGCAGCCCAACTCGAGTTGAGAATTGTCTCCAGGAAATGATCTGACAGTATTCATTTGCCGAATGTTTGGTACCAAGACTCTAGGAGGATTATATCGCTCCCTTTCAACCTAGTTGCCGCTGGTCGTAGCAGAACTACTAGAAATGGCCCAACTCGGATGCGCACTTTATAAATTGATGAAAAAATTCTCGTATTACGTCACCAATTTGATTGGTTTTAATCACGCATTTTGTAAAACATCTTAACACCTCAGTTATAAGTCAACGCGTTCGTTCATTTAGTCTCCAGTAACAAACATCCCAAAAAAGAGCACATATAAAGTGTCAGAACAGTTTGGAGTTTGGTTACCATAATTTCTTTTAAGTAACTGACGCGAAGAAGTGGGATTCTCTAAATTTGTTACGTTCCTGATCGACAATAATGACCGATAGCTGCAGTAAATGCATAGGTAAATATTTCAAAACTAACACGCGATGCTTCAATCTTAAGCATTGAATTGTTTCGAGTCTAACTATAGTGGCTCTAAAAAATAACCAGCTACCATTAAAATATTTTTAATTTTGCATACAAGTTTCTTATACCAGCTTGTAAAAAACCCTTTTTTTTTCCTTTATTTTTAATAAAAAAAAGAGATTATACAGTACATGATATAATTTATTAAAATGAGTCGGATCTATTGCTTTTCTGCTTTTCTGTTAAATCAACATTAATAGTAAATCGATCAATAATACATTTATAGGTGGATCGTACAAACCTATAAAACTCATGAACCCCAAAACCTCACTCCGTTTTAGGCTCTGCAATGAACATTTTCATAAATTTCGCTGTAAAAAAAAGTATGGACAGACTTGTTGAGTAATGCCCGAAGCGAGGCGACTTCCTCCTGTTCACAATTCGATACAGGTGGTCAAAACTTATAAACCATGGATCAATACTAGACCTCCACTATAAACACCAATAATTACCATTTATAAAATTAAGTTCATAAAAGAACATTCGAAAATGCAAACTCATGAAAATTCTATTAAACAGATATTTTTAATTATTTATCAATGTAGACATAACTTTTACCTTCTGGCATACACGAAAGCTTTTCGCAGGAGAACTTCTATGGGTTCCTACATGCTTTGTACCTTACTGAAAAAAGGAGAAAAGGAGATAAGGAGAAAATCCAAGTTTAAATGAAGGTCGCTTGTATAAATGCCATCTATTGAATTAAACATTATAGACAGCATACAATCATACAGTCATCAAATTTAATTGAAAATACGGGTGGCAATCTTATTGAAATATTCCCTATTCTTCACAGCCTATCAATGAATACGCTTACCAAGAAAATTCCTTACATTGCGACTCGGGTTTGGAGTTTGTCAGATCAACACTTCAACATTACAATTTATATTTCAATATTTCAATTCATCTAATGGTAATATTAAGAAGCAATATATCTTGAAGAATGTAATTTTGTCAATAAAGAAATAAAGATATTAGGAAGATTCATAATAATTTTACTGTCATTTTTCTTTTTTTTTCTAACACCATTCAGAGTCAAAAAAAAAATTCGGATTTATAATGATTTTTATTTCAACTTTCTTGATAAAAATATCCTTTATTATATCTACAATATAAAAATTAAATATATGTTATATATGTTTCTTTTTTGATTGTTGGAAAAAAAATATTAAATGTTAAAAATGTTAAAAACTATGTTACAAAAAAAATTAAATAATAGTAATAGTAACAGAATGATCATTTTCTATTAAAATGATTCAGTTAGAAGAATATAATTAAATGTTTAAATGTAATTTTTTCTTTTGAATTGATTAAAATGTCCCAACAAATATGTTTAATTATTGACAAAGATATACTGTCTATAATATATATATATATATTTTTATTTTTTTTGGCTTTTATTTTGTTTCCTTGTTTTGTTTTGGTAGTTGCGTACCGCTTTCACTATTATTTGTACTATGAGAATTACTCCTTTCACTCCTTGTTGGAATTTGTGATTTAATTGTTGAATTCCTTAATTTTGAAGTTGAAGTTGAAGTTGAAGTTGAAGTTGAAGTTGTAGGAGCTGATGGAATTGAAGAAGCCGTTGAAGCCCTGAGTGATGTTTTTTCTTTTGGCTTTTTAGCATTTGTATTTGCAATAGTATTAGTATTAATACCACCAGGTTTCCATGGCGGATTAATAAAGGCTGGTCGCTGATATGCAGTTCGTTTTCCATCTAATATTAAACTGTTCTGCATTTCTTCAAGATCTTTACGCAAAACAGCACTTTCAATCACATCCTTACGCTGATTAATTATCTTATATTATCATCAAAAAAAAAGAAAAATTTAGTCACGTGAAAAATTTAATTATAGATTATACCATTCATGTTTACCTGTAATCCATTAAGAACTTTAGTAAGCATTGCTTCTCGCTTTTCGATTTGAGCCTGTAAACGTTTATGCTCTTCCATTATACCGAGGAACTGTAATATCAGAAAATAAGTTTAATCATTTGATTTATCTTATTATATAAAATTTAATAATGTCATCGTAAATTAACCTGATCTTGTAATTCTTTGAATTTTTTCCTCTCCGTTTCGATTGTTTTATTTTTTTCCTCCAATTGCTCGCGGAGTTGTTCATTAAGCATTGAAAATGTATGCTCCGCTTTTGCCGCTATTGCCTTAGACTCATTATTTACCTATTTATATCAGTAAAATCAATATTTTAAGATATACTCTTGATGTTGAATACATTAAATTTAAAAACGATTTTTTTTTTGTACAATTTGAAAATGCATAAATGCATAGTAAATACTATATTTCAAAATTGACAATGTACCTCCATAGAAGCTTTTTGAATAGAAATCAATTCTTGTAATTGATTATTTCTTCTATTGAGCGCTTGTATTTGAGTCTCAAGATCCCTGCAAATATAAAATGCATGTGATTAATAAATAGATAATTATAAATCCCAAATAACTGTATTCAAAGTTCAAAAGAAACTATACTTGATATTATCGATTAATGATTCAACTTTTTCTTTAGCGCCTTGTTTTTCAACTTTAAGTCTCTCTTCAGATTGTTTTTCTCGATATTCTGAATCTTTCATTCGTCCTGTCCATTTCCTTTCTTCCTCTTTCATTTTAGATTCAATTGTTCTTGCACGACGTTCAGATTCTCTTAGCTTGCTTTCAGCTTCTTCGGCACGGGAATTAGCAGTTTTGAGTTCATCTATTTGTTCACGCATGATTGATAACTGATCCGTAAGCTCTTCATTCATGTTCTAAAATAGAATAATGAAATTAAAAAAATAACAATAATATAAAGTATGAAATGATAAGTTTATATACCCTTGCAGCTTCAAGTTCTCCCTGGTTTCTTTTAGCTTGTTCTCTCCAATCCTTTTGAGTTACAGTAGCTTTATTTACAGTACCTTCCAATTTATTTAATAAACGTAATTTAATGTCCATTTGATTCTTGAGAGATCTACAAAGGTAAAAAATATTATTAAGCCTCAAATTTATTAAATTCACAAATAATTATAATTTCGTTACTAACTCATATTGTTCTTGCCAACGATTGTCAATTTCCTTTGCGCGACGATCAAAGGTATTATGTACATGAGTGAGAGTCTTGAGTTTTGATAAAAGGTGCTCGTTGAAAAGACCAAAATTGGCCGAAGGCTTTGGATAGTTGGACTGTAAATTAAAGATTTAAGATTAGCATAAAAAATGATAAATAAATAGAAAAAAACTATTTTTAATAGTTTATCACGAACTTGTTTATTTGCACTGTCCGACATTATATTATCTAAATATTGATAAATAGTCATTAAAAGCTTATTGCGCTCAATAATTTGATCACGATATTGAGTTTCGTTCGAATATGTAGCCTAAAAAATCAATAAATAAATAAATAATAAGAAACTAAGAAATTTATTATTTTCATTTGATTTTAATCTAATGCATTTGGATAAACTTTCTTACCTTCTTTTCTTGTGTAAGATTATTTTCCAAATCGGTTACTTGCGTTTTTAATTCGTCAATTAGAGAATTTTTATCTCGAATGTCCTGTCAGAAATATAAAATTTAGTTAACCTTGTTCACTAAAATTTAGACTTCTATATCATACATATCCACTTATTATTACCATTTGTAAATTTCGGAAGACTTCTTCGGCTTTAGTACGAGCACTTTCACTAGATGATAATTTTTCGTTCAATTTGGTTCGTTGGTTATTCTAATTTCAGCGAACATATAATCATTTAGTTAATTGCTATAAAACAAACATCTTCCTATAAATTATATTTATTATATGTACCAAATGTTTTATTTCGTTTTCATGTTCAATGATTTGGTTCTTTTTATTCTCTAATTCATCGCAAAGCATTTCAAGTTGAGTGCGCAAACGTTCAGATTCCTGTCGGGATGTATCCAATTCCTAGATAATGTTATATATGAACTTAGATGATGTACAAAAAAAAAACCAAGTGTTAATTAGACAAATATGGTACCACTCTTAATCTCTCTTGTTCCTTTGAATAACGTTCGGTTGTATCTTTATTTCGACCAGTCTGGTTGCTTAGTTGTTGACGAACATATTGAAGATCGGCATCACGTTCTTGAATTGTCATATTCAAATCCGATATTTGTTGTTGTGCGGCCGACAATTTCTATAAATTATCATTTTAAATGTAATTAAATCTAATTATAATTCACAAGATGAATAAAATAATTACCTCAATTAGCTCATTTAATCTTTGATCAGTTTGTTTTTCATTGTCTTTCTTATCTTTGAGCGCTTTCTCAAGTTCTTTTTCATACAATTCTCTATCCTTATTTCTTTCAGCTATTAATTCTTTTTCATGTGACTCGGACGCATTACGCTGTTCAACTTCGTAACGCAGATTCTTTTTCATTTCGTCAATCTGTGTAGTGTAATTTTCTACCTCTTTATGAAGTAAGTCTAACTGCTTATCGGTCGATTCTTTTACAGCTGTTAACTCTACTATTTTAGCGTCACTCATGTTGAGTTTCTATCCAATATATAAATATATTAATTTGGAGTCAAAGTAACCGAATCAAAAATATATTTTAGTTATAAATTAAAAATTATTTACTTCTTTCAAGTCTGAAACCAATTCTTCATGTATTTTCTCATCCTGCTCAATGTTCTTAGTCTTGAGTTCCCAATCGGAACGTGCCTAAAAAAATAAACGATGATATGTAAATAAAAATATTCATCAATATAAAAAAATTGTAAAAGTAAAAAAAGTAAACCAAGTATACCTTGTCAAGATCTTCTGTTAATTCAGTTAACTCCCGTTTTTGATTGTCTATCTGAAGTCTTAGTTCAGCTATTGTCTCTTGACTAAAAGCCAGATCTTCTTGATAATCATGATTCATTGCATTAAGTTCCACTATTAATTGCTCATTATCTTGACAACGTATAAATTCCTTTAATAAATAAATAAAATTATCAATCAATAAAGACAAATTTATATAAAATGAAATATGATATTGAAGCCTATGACTAACTTCTCTCAATTCGGCTTCCATTCGATCCATCTCATCTTCAAGGTCTTGAATGGTATTATTAGCCGTTTCCAACTTAATTATGAGTTGATCAACTTCTGCAGATTTGTTTCGATGCTGTAATGTCAATTCAGCTACTTTATCTCGTAATAGGCCAAGACTCTAAAAAAAATCAAATAATTCCAGTCAAAAAAAAAAAAAAAAGATTACTAAATTGCCCAAATAATAATATTATCACCTCTTCGTATTGATCGCTAAATTCTCCATTCATAATACGTGAAGATGCTGAACTCATAGGGTGACTTCTAATCAAATCCAACTCAGCAATTAAGTCCTCGTTTTCACTTTTATGTGAAACAAGTTGAGTTTTTAGATTAGAGATTTGCTACAAAAAAAATAAAAATAAATAGATAAAATAAAAAATTTTAATATTTAATTTTAATAATAAACTATTTCCATATTAGTCTAAACTTTTGCCTTACCCCCTTCAATTGTTGTATAAGTACGATTTGTTTTTCTGCTTCCTCTTGTCTTGCTTTTTCTGCAGCCTCTTCAATCCTTTTTATCATTTCTCGATTATCAATTTCATCATTCTGTAATCCTTCAAAATTTTTTATGGCAGATTCTCGTAATTTTTCCAATTCTGTATTTGTTTCTTGCATTTTGCTTTTAGCATCAAGTAATTGACGTTTAAGTCCATTCGCTTCATCTAAAATGATTTGTTTTTCATCTCTTTCTTTTTGTAATAAATCCTTGTAATTTTGTAATTCCGAATTTAGTTTTGAATCGAATGTATCCACCGATGGTGATATTCCCCCATCTTGTAATACGGATTGCTGAAGCGCTTGTATTGCATTTTCAGCTTCACCTAATAATTTATCTCGTTTTTTCAAAGTAGTTATCAATTCTTGATTTTGCATTTTAAGATCAACATTCTGACATGAACAATTCAAGTTAAAAAATTAGGATATAAAATTTGGCTTTTGTTAAAAAGAAAAAAAAGAAACAGTTGAATGAACACACTTCTTTTAAAGCTCGTTCCATTCCATCGGGACTCATTTTGTTAATACGTTCTTCCAAAAAATATATTTGCATTTTTAAATTTAAATTTTCCTTTTTGATTTCATCGATGACCTAAAAATTTCAAAAGATTAATTATAAATTCAAGAACTTAATTAATGATAATTATTTACCTTTTCTTGTTCTTTCAATGTCATTTGTGCGTTTCTTGATGGTGCATTAGGTCGTGGATTATTATTACGTCTATTCCTGATAGATCTTGTATCACTTGCATCGGAAATTCTCCTTCCATTTGCAGTATCCTCATTATTTAATAAACGTGATACATTATAAGCAACTTTATTATCGTCGGGGTTCAATTCTCTCGTATTATTCCCATTTTCTTGTATAGAGTTATGAAACGACGAGGTAGGTTGTTTGGACATATCCATAAATGATGAGACATTTTTTTCTAAATGGTCCAAACCTTTTGCAAAATTTGCATCGATAGAGCCGAAGCTCAGATCGTCGAAATCAAAACTCCCGTCGTTAGCTGTTGGGGACGAAGGCTCTGTCATGCAAACTTATTTTGTAGTTTTATTTTTATTTTTTTTCTAATAAATATATTTTTTTTTTTTAATTTCTTTATAAATGCGATCGTCAATAAAAGCTTTAAAAATATCTAAATAAATTTTAAACGTTTAAATAATGAAAGGGGTTTGAATATCCTTCGGAAGTGTTTCAGTATTAAGTAGTATGGTTTATTTTTATTTAAGGTTTTGCTCATCAATAAATATAACTAATTACTGTTTACACGGGATTATATAAAAATGATAAACCAATTTTTTCGCGCTACGTCATGCAAATTTGTAAATCAACGATTTCTTTGTGAGTAGAAAATGTCCATTAATTCTTCACATTATAAACATTATAAAGAATATTTAACAAAGAAAATATATAAATAACGTATAAATATTATTTGTTTTTCACAATTATTACAATTATTAAAGTATTTTTTTATTATGTTTTTACAATTTATGTTTTTGAAGAATAATAATTGAAACTCGTTTCACAGTAAGAATAAAATCCCTATGAAGATTAGGATTTGCTTTATACTATATTAGGAAAATTTTTTTTTATTATAATAAATTTCTTGATTATCTCATTGATCCATTTTGTTCGAAAGTTCGAATTCTCGAATACCGACAGCCAATCATTCATTAGAAAAAAAAAATTTTCCAAATTCATTTTTGAAATCACGAGTCAAGATATTACCAGGCCTCGTATTCAAAAAGTATTTAAAAGGTAAACTTTTCTTTTCTTCTCTTTTAATCACGTTTCTGTTTTTCACTATTTATTTGTGCATGTATTTTAGTGCAAGTTGTTTTACGTAAATTATACCTTTCGGTTCATTAGTTTTTTTTTCTTATTGTTTTGTAAATTGTAAATATAGTTTTATCTAAACTCAATTTTTCGATCCATGAACAAAATAAATAATAATTTACTCGAGAGATCCCAACTTACCCGCATGTAAATAATATTGAGACTCTAATTAGTCCAAGTATTATTTCAAGTGAAAGGAGTGAAATCTGTATGTACTATTAATAATTAGATAAACATTCATTCATTACATTTAATGAATTTTTTCTATGAAAAGAAAGAGAAAATTTTTTTAGAATTATTTAGCGTTATAAATATCACGAGATTGTTGACGGTATCAGAATTTCATATCGGAAAAAAAAAATCTTTTATTCAAAAGAAAAAGAAAAAAGAAAAAGATAATACAAAATAAATATATTAATTTAAAATATGATTTCATATCAGGAAATCAGAGATAAAAAAATTCTTGATAATTGAATAGAATAATAGATAATCAAATTTACAGTAATAAGTAATAACCCATTAAATTCCTGTCAAAATCTCACAATAACTCCACCCGAACATATAACCCTTCTTTTCCCTTTTATTAATTGATTGATTTCCTTATTTATTTATTCTTCCTTAGAAATACTATCCAACTTTTTAAAAAAATTTTCAGTAATTTCTTTTCCACTAGATTCATTATAATAATAATAATAATTATTATTATTATCTACATTTTTAATAGGAGAACTAGAGAATCCGAAATAAGTGGAATGAGTATTAGTATCTTTAGTATCCTTTGTAATAGTTGTACTATTATCAACTGTAGTGGCTGTAGTGATAAATGTATTTGAATTATTATACAATGTTCTCTTGTGTTCATTCCTATCATACGATGAAAGTCTTCTCTGCATCTTTGGTCGTTCCGTCGTTTTAGTTTCTCCGTTTGAACGTGTTTTGTAATGATGTGATGTTGTTTCATTTAACGGAGATTCCATCTCTTATTTTTTTTTTATTTAGAAATTCGAATGGGAAAAAAATGGAGCGGAAAACAGGCTTATTTATAAAAGAATTTTTAATTAAAAAAAAAAAGCCTATATTGCGCCAATTAAAATGTATTACACATACTATCCCAAAAAGACACTAAACTCTTTAATTCATTTTGTGTGTTTAATCGAAGAGTCAAAAAAATATATAGATAAGTTACATTTCACATGTGAATGATCATTCATATTACTAAAGAAGTATGCTGACAAAGGAAGTATTGACAAAATTGATCCCCAAACCGAACATTCAAAAAAAATCATTGTATAACAATGCTTTTCTTCACTTTCCTTAACAGTAACGCGCAAATTTACGCGACAACAAATCAACAAAGTAAAAGAAATAATGAATCAATTTCCTAATTTATCCAATAAATTAAAAGGAACAAATCTTGTTGCGTCCTGTGACACTGTAGATTAACGATATTAATTAATGAAGAGACGCGAAATTTAATTAAAAGATCGCCTCAAAACCGGATTGCCGATCTATGCGCCATCTATGATTTTTTAGCCCGTACAGCCCGATTATATTTTAAGATAACAAAGGGAATTATTTACGTAATACGCATCAGCCACAAAAACTACTACAAGCCACTAGAATACATTATATAGTCTAAAAAAGTTAATTACAAAATTTAAAAAAATGTCTATTATACCAAAACACGAGAAATTTCATGAAGGGTCACAACAAGGAATCAAAATTAATGAATGGACAATTACAACTAACAAATCATCAATTAGCAATTCACGAGAGATAGAAAAGTAGTACTATTATTTTCATTTTAATTTGCGCTAATTCATTATTTTTTGTTCTAAAATTTTTTTCTCCGAATTCAAAAATTTAAAATATTAGAGCGCAGAAAGAAGTAACTATATCATTACCTGAAATGTTTTTCGGAAATAATTTATTAAGAATATCGAATGATTATGGTGTTATATATGAATTTTCTCCATTGAATGCATTAAAGATGGTTGACGCTACAGCAGAAGGTGGTGAAAAAGTAAAAGTTGCTTATTCAGAAGAATGGAAAAAGAAGAGGTATGTATAATTAATAAATTTGTCATAATCTAGGATGAATAAATTAAACTTTTTTTTAATTCGGCAAAGTGCAAAAAATCATGAACATATTAAAGATGTGATTAAACCATATGATTGGACTTATACTACTTCATATACTGGAACTCTAAAGGGGACAGTAGATAATCAGGTAAAGTTAGAATAAATTCTCATGATTTAAATATTACCAATAAAGTTATTTACTAATCTAGATGATCATAAACACCTTCGTATAACTGGACTTAGGTATTTGAAAATTCAACAGATAGGATTGATATGGAAAAACTTAAAAAAGTAGAAGAAATATTGTTTTATGATGAAATAGATTTATTTGAAGATGAATTAGCCGATAATGGTACAGCAATAATAAACGTAAAAATTGTGAGTTTGTTCATGTTTAAAATCTCAAAATTTTTATTGCATTCACTTTTTCTTGATATACAATTTTTTTTTCATTTGTAATATAGCGTGTTATGCCATCAGGATTTTATATACTTCAACGATTCTTTCTTAGAGTTGATGAAGTGTTATTCAGAATGAATGATACGAGAGTTTATCATGAATTTGGAACTGATTACTTACAGTTAGAATATTCTTCAAGAGAAGAACATTATAACAAAATAAGAACAGTTAGTATAGAGATTCTTCTAATATTTTATAAGATAAAAATCTATTTTAACCACTCTCTTATTTATTAGTGTATACCTAAATACAAGGGAGATGATATATCACAATTAACTGACATAAATTGGATAAATTCAAAGTTACCGCCACCGAAGAAAGACGAACTAATGGTAAAAAAATTATGTGTTGTGCCAAAGAGTGAAATTTGATACACGTGATCAAATAAATTGTCTTTGAATTGGTCATTGCAGTAATTAAACATAAATTTGTTATAATAACAGATAATTTGTAATTAAAATTGCATATAATTATAAACTATTGACTATTCCACATCCATAGTCTGTAATAATTTCATTATTCCAATATTATTTTATTTACAAGACAGAAATTGATTAAGTTATTTATATATTAAAAAAATATGATTATAGTACTTATAGTAATAATTAATAAAGTAATAATAATATAATAATAAATAATATAATAATAATCAATCAGTATTATCGTTTTCAGATGTAACGGTATTAGTATTAATAGTGATGTTACCAGCACCACCAACGCCAATCCATTTCCTTAAAGATTTGGATAATCTTTTATCTTGATTTAAAGGATTTAAAGAATATAAAACATTAGCAGTATTATTTAAATCATTTTCCTCTATTTCAAATGTATTGTTTGATGAAATACTCTGTTCAGTTCTATTACGTTGTGAAATAATTCTTTGCTTTGCACCTTCTAAATCTTTGTAAATTGCTTGTATAGCATTTTGTACGCCATCTTCTTTTCTAATATTTTCTCCCACTAGTTCAGCTTTCTTAATAATTTTTTTATCTGTTGTAACTTTCACCAAATAATCTGATAATTTATCTGTACTTAATTTTTTTAAACAAAATCCAATTCCCATATTGTCAATACGATCCCCCCAAAAGAATTGATCTCCAAAAAATGGTTTAATAATTGTTGGTATACCAGCGCGTAATCCTGCAGCTGTAGTGCCCGCTCCACCATGATGTACTACCGCGTCAATTTTAGGAAATAACCAGTCATGTGGTACTGATTTCAATGAATAAATTGATGGTGGATAATTTTCCTCCTCATTTTGATTTGGTTTTTTTTGTAATCTATCACTCCATCCTTTTGATAAAATAGCTGCTACTCCACTTTTTTGTACAGCTTCTACAATTGTTTTTGTCATTGCTTGCGGATCATCTACAACAATTGATCCAAATCCGATATACACTATCGGTTTTTTATTCTTTTGATTTTTATTCAAAAATTCTATTAGATCTTCTGGTGGATTCCATCCATGATCAGGATTATCCAAAAACCAATAACCAGTCACATGAATCCAATCCGCCCAATCAAATGCTTTTGGAACAATATATTCACTAAAATTATATAAGAATGGAACTGTTGAGGGTTCCATTTTCTCTAAATTAGTGCCACGTAATTTCAATGTTTTCTTCCTCCATCTATTTACTTGTGGAGAAATCGCAAGCCAAAAGGCATTCTCAATAAGGACATAAGATGAATAATTATAGGGACCTTTGAGATCATGATCTGGTACTGCGAATGCATGAGGGTATGCTCTTGTTCGTGTCCAGGGCATTGTAAATGCACGGAAATATGCGACACCTACATAAAAATAGTAATATGTTAAATAATTGAGAAACGAAATTTCAAAACAATATTAAAAACATAATTACCAAGACATTCCGCAATATGAATTCCAGACATACAACTAGGAGATTCTATAATTACATCTGTATTCTAAGTGATCAAAAATAGATTAATATTTAATATTATATATTACAACTAGAATATTGATGAATATATAATGATGTACCTGACATGCCTCCCAAGAAGTCTTCAATAAATCATCTAACCATTCACGAAACTATAAATAGAAACTATTAATGTTTGAACTTTTTTAATAACATGCTTATTATGGATAAAACTTACGTTTGTGAGACCTTCCTTGAAAAAACCAAAAGTGAACATGCCGTTTTCAACACAAATACGCTGTAATAAAATAAAATAATTTTTTTTTAAAATTTATAAATCACACAAGAGCACATGTATATCTTTTATATTTACCATAAGCTCTGCAGGATTGCCACCAACGTAACCAAATTCAATGCCATGGCCTTCAACCCAATCCTTATATTCACCATGAGTAGAGATTCTAACTTTATGGCCCTCTTTCATAAGACCTTTGGCAAGTGCAATATAAGGTTGAACATCACCACGTGATCCAATAGTAAGACAAGTTATATGTAATGGCTTGTCAAATTTATTGGTCGCTCCTATATCGCCAAAATTTGTTGCTTTTGGTGACCCTGTGTTTGCTGACCATTGTTGCCATAGTAATTGATCTTTAATTATAGCTTGATTTATAATGCTATCACTTGAACTTTCCGACATTGTTCTCCTTTCTTCATTCGATTTCGTTTTTTTAAGTTCAATCATTTCAACAAATCTATCTCTTACATGTTCAAATCCAAATTCGAAAAACATTTCTTGTTGAGCTTTGGTAAGAATTTCCAACCCATAATATCCTAACATGGTTGCCTTCGTCTTTTTAAAGAAGTGAATATCCGCAATTGGCAATATCATCTAAATGAAACATAAAAACAATATTATTAAGCTGGTATTAAATATTTTTCTTTTTTCTTTATAAAAATAAAAAAAAAGTAAAAAAAACTTACATTAGTATTTTGACCTATAACTCTAGACTTGAAACAAACATAATTGTCGGATACATAAAATTTGCCGTACACCGGAAGCATACGCAAGAAATATCCGTAGAACACTATGCAATGTGAAAAAAATCTGAGTATAAGTAATAAATAAAGATGACATATAAAAAACAATATTTATTACAATACGTACCAGCATAAAGTTTTTCATTCTCTGGTAACGCAAAATGTTCTCTAAAATGTTGTCGAGTTTCTTCGGAAATATCTTCTTCGAAAGAACTAATATATTTCTTAGGATTTTTCAAAAATACTTGCGCTCGTTTAGAAACATATTTTGTTATATTCCATTGACTATCTGATGTTTCTGATGTTACAGTTTCTAAGGTTGTTGCACGAGGTGATCTGGATACAGATCTTGGAATAGTTGGTGATGGTGGCTCATCACGACTTTTATTTCGTTTATGTTTTATAAATGTTGTAATAGACCTTACTGATGAGACTTCACTTGACTCGGAGGCAACCTGTTTAATGTCTCTTGGACGCGAAGGATGAGCTGACTTGTGTTTTTCCCAACATTTGGTAAGTTCTTCATACAAAGACTCGCTTTCCGAGAAGACGACGAAAAAGTACTAAAGAAAAGATATGATTGTCATATTAATATGAATAAAAAATCCATATTGAAAGACGACTCAAAAAGTAGTTACATCTTCGTGATCATCTTGTTCCGATGTAACAATATGTAATGTATTAGAAAAATTCGATAAATTATTTTCAATATTAATAATACTTCCGATTGGTATAACAATCTATAAAAAAAAAATAAATAAATTATTATATTAAATAAATCATTAAATTATCTTTGCAAATTAAATATCTCATTAATAGTAACCTTTACGTTATCACCATCATTATTAGCTCGTACAATAGATCTTTCTAATTGTACCATCCATTCTTCCATAGAAGTTTGCGAATCTGCTTGAAATTTATACGTACGCTTTGGTGTAATAATTTTAAATCCATTCTTTTTACTAGTTTTCTCAACCTTTATAGCGTATTTTAAGTCGATAATCTCTTCGGGACAATACATATCCTAAAAATAACAAATTTTAAAAAATTTAAACTTCCCTGATTACCGAAATTAGTATACTTGGAAAATTAAGCTTACCATAGGATCTACGTAATAAGTGAGTACATCATTTTGAAGTGTAAAATGATAACGTTCATATCTATTTCCAAAATTTTTCTTAGCGAGATTACCATCCTTCAATACAATATCCTAAGGAAAAAGTTTATTGTGTAACCAAATGAAAGACAATCAACTTATAATTTGTAACACGAAGATGTCGTTACCTGCTCTCTTGGAAAATAAGCATGAAAACAAATATGATCTTCTGTCAGATACATAAAACCTTGTAACAATATTGATCTTAATAAAGTACATCTAAACTCTATTATAGTAATAAAAGCACAAATTAACTTTTACTTAAGAGAAAAGATGAAAGGATAAAAAGGTCAAAAAAAAAGAATAAATTTTCTTAAATTGATTGCTAATATACCTCCTTTAAGTTCTTCTGGATTTTGTAATTTAAAAATTTCTTGTAATTTTTCTTTGGTGGTTTTTTCTTTTAGTAATTTTTCTGATTCACTAGTATCTAATTCTTTTTCTTCTATAATACCCTCTGCATCACTTTCTTGAAATAAAGTTGTAAGGTATACCGCATCTAAAGAAGAATTTCCGGAGCTTCCATTTGAAGAATCGGAATCCGAGTCTATATATTATTATTAAATTGAATTAAAGATAAAAATTAAACTTTAGTAATACTATTGTACAAGAAGTTATTAATAAATAAGATAGACAACCTTCAGTTGTACTGGTTGGACTGGTTGGACTGGTTGGACTAGTTGGATTGGTTATATTAGTTGAACTTGTTGATCTTTTATTTGAAGATTTTGAGGGTTCAAAGATCTAAATAATACGAGAATGAATAGAAACCGAAATTATAATAAAATTATTACGTCATCGTCATTAACGAACGTTATTTAAAAATACTTACGGTTCCCATCGTAGCTGATAAAGCTTTTATTAAATTACTATTGAACATTTTTACGAAAAATCGGATATTTATAATTGTTCAAGGAGGCAAAGAATAAAAAAAGTTTAACAATCAAAATCATGATGTAGATTCTACTTTGTGTTTATAAAAGTAAAATCGACAAGATTAGCTTACACAAAGTAATTAGTAAATGTGTAAGTGGCTAAAAGTGTCAATTAAAGAGATGTGAAGTGTAAACGCGGCGCTAAATATTTTAATTTATTTTATTGTGTATACTAGGAAAGAGTAAATTACCGTATGTTGTCCGAAATTGGTAAATATCACTACCTCTGAGGCTCTGACACGAGGTTGTTAGAGTTGCATAGTGCACGTGGTATAGATGTTAGTTACTATCTCTTCTCGAAAATAATAATGCATGTTTCATGTTAAAACTTCTAAGACGTCATTTTTTTATTACCAATAAAAGATTGGTAAGTTCCTCATCATTGTTTTATTGATGATGATTATAATAATGATCATAATTTAGGATATATTAAATCTTGGCATTTATTAATATTTAGTTTAGTAAATTCTTTCTAGAAGAGTTTTATAATTAATATAGAAACTCTATAAAGTAGAATGAACTTTTTAACTTATTTGGACAAACATTAATTAGAGTCTGAAGCAACGCGGAAATAGATAGTGGTACAATCTACCCACGAAAAAAATTTTCAGTGGTCTGATTTATTTTGTACAACATTTTAGAAGCTGGTCTTTTTTCGAGAAAAGAGGGAGTTTTTAATTAAAAAGAAAATAGTTTATTTGATAAATTATTTGTTATTTTAGAAATTTAACAATTAATCCCCTGTCGCACTAAGTGTCATTCATGATCACCTTCGTGGCTTTCATACTAATTTTTTAAAATTGCGAGTGATTAGCTGAGTATATAAATGACTGGGAATCTTCGTTTACTTATTTCCCTCATATAGTTAGCCGGGAGATTACTAATATTAGTTTAAATAGTTAAAATAATTAATATTTAATGAGTGACACGCTCCGGAGGATTACCCATTTATTTTACGGGAAGGGGGTTTTTTCCCGAATTTCCTTTCGGGAAAAAAACCCCAACTCCCCATGAAATAAACAATACCAATCTTTATATAATTTAATAATTGTCACCTTTATACTCACTTCTAAGGCAAAAAATTTCAATTTAGTATATTAATGGGAAAACTCAATATTCGGCTGACATGTGATTCATGTGATTACGCAAATCTGAAAAAATAATTAGTTACGTTACCGACGCGCGTACCACTTTTTGTGGCGTCTCAATTGGAGTATCGTGTAAATAATTTATGGCGTCAAGTATGTGTTACTATTTAATAACATAAATATAATGTAAAAATCTTTAAAAAACTAATTTAAGAGTATATAAATTAAAAAAATTTTGCAGAAACTAATAGATTTTATAAAATGAAAAGTACTTTAAATTAAGGATAAATGAATAGATCAGTAAATAACTAATTGTTTCTGCAAAATGTTAATAAATAAAAAATACTTAAAAAGTTTAATTAAATCAAAGCATTATTTTGTTTCTATTAATTTTTATAATTCTATATTAAAGGTCAAAAAAATTTTACAATAAATTAAAATATCACACGATATCAGATCTTTATCTATAACACATAGAAAAAAGACGTGTATTGTGGATGCTTAAAATCGAATTATAGGGTTAAATGTTACAAAGAAAAAGTACTTTTAGTAGATTTGATTCAATTCATATGGCTCGCTGCTAATCATAATTTGTATTAACAAATGGTTCTTTAACAAATGATGGGGAACATTCAATTAAATAAATTATAAATAAATTCTTTTTTTGGTTATACACATATTCAACATATTCATGACCACTAAATACATAAATAAAATAAATATAAAACCATTAAAGAAAATCAGAAGCTAAATAAATTTTAAATTATCTTACCAAATCACGCAAATAACGCTTATCACTGATCCATTGAGTCAAAATTTTTAATGCATCTGATTTTTGTATTTTACCATGCTCAACTAAAATATCGGCCAAAGCATCATTAACACCTTTAGCCATACCTTGAGCATCTCTAAAATCATCAACAATCATTTAATATTTAAATAATCATTTAAACGAAATATACGTTCAATACTTACCCACATACAAAAATCATCGCATTCTTTTGATCCAGTAATTCATAAATTTCTTGACCTCTCTTTCTCAAAAGGTCTTGAACATATTTTGGATTTCCATTAAGTCCAGCATTAGGTGCTCTACTAATTACAACTAACAATTCTTTCAAAAAACCATTTTCTGAAAATCTCTCCAATTCTTCACGGTATAAATAATCTTTCTCAATATCTCTACATCCGTAGAATAACCACATTTCTCCAAATGTTTTTTCAATATTATTTAATTTTCGTTCAGCAATAATTTGTTGCTCACGATGTTGAATAAATCCCACAAAAGGTGCAACACCTGTTCCAGGACCGATCATAATTATAGGTCTTGAAATATCTGAAGGAACTGCAAATTCATTAGAGTTTGGCTTCATGAAAATAGGGATGTTTATATCCGTAGTTAAGGGAACCCTTTTATTAATTTCTTTGGCATAACCACTCAAATTGTCCAGCCACGGAGTACAAACTCCATATTTACGTACATTGTAAGGGACTGGTGTTTTATAATCTACGATATTAAAAGCAAAATGTAATAAATCTCGGTTCACAAGCGGAGAATTAACAATAGAGTAATAACGAGGTTGGTGAGGTGGCAGAACATCTAGTAAACGTTCTAAAGGCGGTTTACTCGAAGGAAATGTTATCAAAAGATCAAGCAAAGTTGGAACTTGTTCACGCAGAAGATTGAACTGAACAGATCCTATAATAAATTAACAATTAGTCTACTAAGAGTTAAAAAGTGATAATATAATAGAGATTTCTACCTTGTTTGCTGCAAAGAAACAGAAGAGTTTTTTTTTCTTCTTCGTTTGTTGTATATTCAGCCAACAATCTCAATAATGCTTTACGTGGCAAAGAGTTTAAATCTACACCATATCGCAATAACTCAATAATCGAAGTCGATTTAGCATTTCTCAAGTGCGATGGAAGCTCTATATGGACAAAATTAAGTTAATTTCAAAAAAAAAGAAAGAAGAATTAATGAGAAATAAAATTTTGGAATTTTTTATCTACCAGTTCCCTCAGCGCTTTCGACTGAAATTTCCTGATTGGCTTCATTCTCGTCAATCTCTAAAGTTTTTAAAATTCCCAAACATAATTTTTCATTATTGGGTGCAATGATTCCAAAGGAATCACCAGGAATAAATTCCAATTTTTCCCGATAATCTTTAATTTCCAACTCCAAATGGATAGTTCTTTTAAGTGCCTCGGGATGAGTAAGACAACGAACTGCATCTAATCTAGTATTCACAATTGGAGTTGGTGTATTAATTAAAGTAGGTAATGTCGGAGAATTGATTATCCTTTCCTCATTTGATTTTATAATCTTGCAGATCACAGTAGGAATACGTGGTAAAGCAGTAAATTGCTCAACTTTAGCTAATTCAGATAAATCCAACATAATTTTAGTGCCGCTCGCAATACCCATTTTTTTATCAACTGATTGACCATTTGGTGTTTCCAAAGGTAAAGACGTTTCATTGCTCTCAGTTTTACCATTAATCGAAAGAGTTTTTACAGATTCGATAATATTTTCGACTTGCGTATTATTATTATCCTTTCCTTTTTGAACACATACTTTTACTAATTCTGGCCATAAATTCGCAATCCAAGGATCAACGGTTGTTTCCAAGCTTGAAAAATATAAAGAATTTATGTTGGCGAACCGCTAAGGTTAAAAATTTTTCTCTAACCATTACTTAGACTACTAGACAGACTCTCATACCCCATCGCATCATCGGCTAAACCTTTATTATAAAAGGGTGCAGCACCTAAATCTATCATTCTTTTCTCCAATCGCTTTGCCGTATTGTTGAAATTAGTGTAATTAGTATCACCCAAACCTAATCAAAATTATAATAATTATAATAATAACTAGAACGTGAAATTAAATAATAATATAATTAATCTAACTTACCGAGGATTGTGAATTTTAAGTGGCTAAGAAAAGTATTTGATTTAATTTTTCTCAAAAATCGAAAGAACTTTGTAGCATTATCTGGTGGATCACCATCTCCAGTATTGGAAGTTACAAGGATCAAAACGTTTTCCTTCGATAAATCGAACTAATAATGTAAATAAGAAAAAAAAATTATTATACACTACGTATATAATATAATTATATATTTAATAAAAAAAAAAAATACACTCCACATACCTTGTCAATTTCCTCCATTACATAACATTCATTAACAAAACCACGTTCCGAAGCTTCTTGATGTATATTTTTAGCGATCCATTCAGCATTTCCAGTTTGTGAAGCATAAAGAATTACAAATCTCGAGCTTTTTTCTGAAGCCATTAGAAGAAAAAAAACCCCCTATGGATCAGCTGAAATTAGTTTTAGGTTAGGGAGGTTATCAACTTGATCAGTCAATCACCCGGCAGTCACCCGGTATACATACTATTTATCGATCGATTACATACTACTAACTACCGAAAAAGTATAGGAAATTGATGGGTTTATGCAGCTTGTTTCATGCAATATTCACTGCGCGGCGAATTCTTTGATCCTCATATATGTATTATAACGTATGTTAAACAGTCAAGGCGCAATTATATCATTTTGGTTATCATATTTTAAAACTATTTCGATTCTTTCTAATTTTAGTGTGAAACACTTAGATAATTGAATAAGGAAGAATTGAATAAAGAAACTCGTAATGAACAAAAATAACGGATAAAAATTTTTTATAGGGATGGTAAACAATCGATGATATTTTTTACTCTAGAGTCTAGACTCTAGTAATAGTGTTTCAAAAAAAGAAAAAAAAAAAAAAAAAGATCGTCAATTTGTAAACGAGCAAACCTTCCTGAAACATTTTTTATACAATACTTAAATTATGTACTATGTTTTACGAGCTCATTTTTAAATTTAACGTTTTCTTTATTATGCACTCGTTTTAAATATTGTGGGACATCAGGTGAGAGTTTGGGACATCATTGTTTAATAAACTAATATAAACTCAACTATAATTTTAATACTTTTTTCATTGGTTTTCTTTCTTTAAATGGGAACAAAATCATTATTAGCTATTACTATTTTTATGTTACAAATAGTTACCCAGAATTATATATACTCCTAAATGTTTAATGTGATTGTTTGTCTGCAGATCTAAACACGAATGATATTAAACTATATGTATAAAAAAAAACAATATATAACAAGTATAAACTTTTAAAAAAACCAAAAAATTCTATTTTCTCATCGTTTCAACTTTTACATTTCGAAATTGCAAAGTCAAATATTTTACAAACTCGTTTAATTTTCTTTTCTAATAGTATTTTTAACTATGAATGGTTTGAAAAAGTTGCGTCAGACTTTAAGACGTAATGGTAATAAATCACGTAGTAATAATAAACCATTGAATGAAGTGTACATTTATACTCCATTACCCAACCATAAAAATGGATACATAATCGAATTTCGTCATTCCGATTCTTCCGAAATATATTATTACAAATATAAAGAAATTGCTGGAGGTACTTTAACGAAATATGGTTATTTAGTTTGCGATCATTATATTAGAAATTATGATAATAGTAAATATAATAAAAATGATTTTAGCGAAGAAATTGATTACAAAACATTATTTAGCGTTAATAGCGATGATAAAGAATGTATATTTTATCAGACTGTTGCTGATAAGGAACAAATTGCTTTAGAAAAACGTTGGATGAATGAATTAAGAGAAAAAGGAAAATTGCACATTTCTGCTTATGATGACGATGGGGAATGGTCTACTTTAATGCAACATAATAACGATTTTATTATATCCGACAACATACAACGCAGAAGACTGGATGAAATTTTAAATAAAATTGATTTAAATAATAATGACATACCAACACGTACATTGCCTCCATTATCAATTCACCAATTGTCAAATAATAATAATTCTTCAGTGAAAGAAAATGTTGAAAATGTTGAAAATTATAATAATTATTATGAATTTTATACTCCTCCTCTTTCTCCTAAAACTCCTCCTTCTTCTCCAACAGAAAATTTTGCAAATATCACTCAAAAAAGTTTATTAAACATGAATATTAGACAACGTGATAAAAATAAGGGCAAGAAATATCAAGAGGAGCAACAACAACCCAAAGAAAAGGTTAAAAAATTAATTCATTTAACTCAGCCTAAATTTAGGAAAACTCCGATGGTATATACTTATGATCCTGAAGATGCTTTAGAATATAAAGATTGTAGATGTGATTATTGTTTAATTGATGATTATTATGAGTAAATAATTTGTAAATTAAATATTTGTTTCTGTATTGATAAAAATCATGTTAATAGTTATTTATTTGAAAAAAAAGTTTGTTAAATATCTTAATCTTTTTATTATTTAACATATTTATTTTATTTATTTGTAAATTTTAAAATTATAATAGAAATTTTCAATTTTCATAATTTTCATTAAAGTTAATACCGCAGTATATTGTGTCATAGTAAAATCATTGATTTTTAATCGAGTGAAAATTTTATTTTTTTTAAATAATACATAAAATTTCAATTCTAATTAGTCATATTATTTTTTAGAAGATGTAATTTTTACTTTATAAGTTTTAAAGCCAGCCAGTCTAAAACTGAACAGGGCTTATATTTCTTGATTTTGATTGGTGGTTCTTAAAATACTTATAAATAAGTCTTTATCGTTAAAAATAAATAATTTATTTATGAAATAAAAGAAAGTAAAAAATTGGGTTTTTAATCAGTGTTTTTTTTCTAATCACAAAACAAAAAAATAAATTTCCCGTGTAGTGTCAATTAGCCAATCAAATTTAGGGGTGAAGAATTCACTCTTTTGGAATGTTTAAAATATTGATCTGTAAAATCTTTATGTAAAAGTTTCCATTAACAAAAAATGTACACCTTTTTTATGAGATGCCTGCCCTGTTGTAACACCTTAAGCTAGCTCTTAAAAATTTTTATATTGATCTATAGATTAAGCAAATCTTCAAGTTAATCACGAACTCGTGAGTCACGAAGCAAATATTTCTTCAATCTATCAAGCTTTAAACGCAAACTTACGAAGCAAATATTTCCCAATTTATCAAGTTTTAAACACGAACTTAGTCACTGATGAAATGGTCAGATCATATGATAAACTCCGAGTCAAATTTGCACCGACATTAAATCACGTGACTACGATATTGAATATCTGAATATCATTTTTTTACTATAAACTATATCAGATTTTACATATGTACATCATTTTTATTTCTTAGACTCTTTCGCATATATATATAAACTTCCAAACACAATCCAAACCGCTTATAAATAAATTCACTGATTCAACTTTCGTAATTTCCTAGTAGTAACTAGAATTTAGCGAAGAATAGGATTTCACATTAAAAATAGCGGCAACTATGATGGCTATTTTCCACGTGAAAGAAAGCTCACCACATCCACCACCAAATTTCATTAATAATTAATCGATACTATTATACTATATCAAAATTAAATACTGATCTAATACAACTGTGTGTTCATTATTAATAGTAAGTTGATTTCTATTTGCTTTTTATTTTTTTATTCATTGTCCTTTTTAAACCCTCCTAGTGACGATGAAAAATTATATTTGCTAGTTCCAACATTTCCTATATTTTCACGTAAATTTGAAGTAGAATTTGATCGTAATAATGAGTTAGATGATGATGGTGATGATGATAATGAAGTATCTCGTAAATTCGAAGAAGAATTATAAGTTCTTAATAAATTAACATTGTCTTTTGAAGATGAATGTCTTAATAATTTGTGATCATCGTTTATTATAGGTTGATTTGAATATGTTGCGGGATTTCTAAGAATGGAACGAAATAATATTACGGATAAGTTTAAAAAGTTAAGATGAGCTTAGATTCGACCCAGATTTAACTGACCTGAACACATTCCAACCTTGCTTCCTAGGAGAAAGATCCTTTATTATACCAACTCCACCTAACCTATTTGAATTAACACTATTTAATCCAGGACTTGGTAATCCATTTATTACACTATTATTCGATGAATTACTACCTGAAATTAGAATATTTGATAATCCACGTCTTCGTTCTTCCCTATTTGTTATAATACCTCCTGTTGATAAAGAGGTTGATGAAGAAGCTGCAAAAGTTCCTAATGTTGGACTTTGTAAATGTTCTGAAGTTATCCCGTATTTTTTATCTATAACTTTATCAAAAAATGAATTAATCTTTTCTATTGCTATAGAATTTGGTGTGAATTGTGTAGGAGCCACAGCACACTTTCAATTGAAATTTGATAAACAAAATAAATTAGTAATTACTAAATTAAATTTCAATATTCAAACGTAATACATACTAAATTTACATAGTCTCCACCAAATTCGTCAATAATACTATATCGTCTCTGTCGTCCTGTTAACTCATGTTTGACAAGATCTGCTTTAGTTCCAGCAACTAGAATAGGTATGTTCAAAGATCGTTCATTTAAAGAAAGCTTAAATTCTTCTATGGGTAAATGAGCCATTTTAAGTTAATATAGTCAATAACAATATAAATAATAATATTTAAAATTACATACCATTTTTCTTATGCCCATTATAAGTGCTGGAAGATAGCCCGGTCATATTTCCGCTTATACTATTGTTCAACATATTACTTCCACTCATCCAACTACCTGATAAACTTCCACTTACATTACTCCAGCTTCCACTACCACTACTATTCCAATTCATACTAGCATGAGAACCACTCATACCACTTGAATTGCTTGATTTTTCAAATTCTTTATAACCTTCAGATTCAATGATTTCAGAAACCCAATTCCATAAATTATAATAAGATCTTCTGTTACTAACATCATGTACTAAAATAATTCCGTTTATTTGATGATAAAACATATTACGTGAAGATTTATGTTTGGAAGAACCTCCAACATCAATAAATTCCACAAAATATGATTTATGTGTACGAGTATGACTGTGAATCTAATTATTTCGGATTGCATATAATTATTATAATGTTAATTAATATGCCATAATAGCGTGTGAATAGACCAACCTTTACATCAGCAGTACACCCGATTGTATATGAAGGATGCCTTAGTACTTCATTGTGACAAAGTATATGTACTAAGCTCGTTTTCCCCTAAAAAAATTATTGTGAATAACAATGAATCAAAAACACGTAAAAATCTAAAACAGTGTTGTAGTTACCACACCAGGATCTCCAACTACAACGATTCGAATTTTGTCAGAGAATTCCATTAGAAACTGTTCTTAGCCTATTGAATTTTTGGAGTTTATCTACACAAATATTTGTTAAATAGATCGACATTGTCGATCTTGTCGATCTGATTATTTCTCTCTTAATATCTACAAAGATGCCAAAAGTCAAGCACCAAAAATTTGGTTATTCTCATAATAGTCAGAGCAAAAATGTTACTAAATCTTCTACTAATACAGCAGCTCGGTCTCTCGCACCTTTATTTAATAAAGACTTGGGTCAGCATATTTTGAAGAACCCGCTTGTTGCCCAAGGAATAGTTGAAAAGGTGCTCAATTTTTGGTTTTTTTTTACAAATTATAAACACATTTTTTTCAACGTAGTCCTTAAAATTTAAAGGCTGGCCTAAAAAGTACTGATACAGTACTTGAAGTAGGTCCTGGTACAGGAAATTTAACAGTTCGTATTTTAGAAACGGCGAAGAAAGTTGTTGCTGTAGAAATGGATCCAAGATTAGCTGCCGAATTGGTTAAACGTGTTCAGGGAAAGTAAGCATAAATTTTGTTCGAGATTAGCGCATTGATACTTTCAATTAACAATATTTTTTGTTTATGAAGACCTGAACAAAAGCGATTGAATATAATGGTTGGAGATTTTCTTAAAACAGAATTACCATATTTCGATGTTTGTATAAGCAATACTCCCTATCAGGTATGATAGACAAGATTTGATTTTTATTATATTCAGCAATAATAATGGTATTTTTCTTTCAGATTTCATCACCACTTATATTTAAGCTTCTTGAACATCGACCATTATTTCGATGTGCGATATTAATGTTTCAACGCGAATTCGCTATGAGATTAATAGCCAAACCCGGTGATAATTTATATTGTCGATTGAGTATTAATGTACAATTGTATGCAAAAGTAGATCATATAATGAAGGTATTCATGAGTACATCATTTTAATCTTGACTTATTTACTTCGATTAATGTTGATTCTGTTTACAATAGGTTGGGAAAAATAATTTTAAGCCTTCGCCACAAGTTGACTCATCAGTTGTTCGAATTGAACCATATAATCCACCTCCTCCTATTAGTTTTAAGGAATGGGATGGATTAATGCGGATCGTGTTCGTTAGGAAAAACAAGGTTTCTATAATGTTTATGTTATTATTACCTTTTGAATTTACAGATATATAATACGTAAAATCTTTTTTATTAGACATTAGCAGCGAATTTTAAAACAACTTCGGTTTTACAAATAATTGAAAATAATTACAAGACATTTTGTTCTCTAAATAATATGGTTCACCTTATTTTTTTCCTATTTTCTTCAATTATTCTAATTTAGATGAGAGAAATTTACTAGTTTTTTATTTTAATTAGATGATTGAAGATACTTTGGATATAAAGCAAAAGGTTATAAATGTATTACAATCGGTCGATATGGCTGAATCCAGAGCGGCAAAATTGGGCATTGACGACTTTCTCAAGTACGTATTTTCGCAAAATAAATCGAACTTGGAGAACTATCTTCTAAACAAAATTATTTCATTTATAGATTACTTTACGCGTTTAATCAGGCGAATATTCATTTCTGCTAATATTTTGTATGATTTTATTTATTATTAAAATTTTTATGTGAAAATTTAATATTTTTAATATTATTTAAAAATAATACAAATTTTTATATACAAATAAAAAATAAAAAAAAACCAATCTAATTAATCAATAAATCACACGTAATATTGATTGGCTTCTAAGTTTTTAGCAATTTCAGGTTCCCATTTATCACCGTTTGCCAGTAACTTTTCTTTATTATATAATAATTCTTCACGTGTCTCTGTAGAAAATTCAAAATTAGGACCTTCTACAATTGCATCAACAGGACATGCTTCCTGAATATCAGTTAAACAAGAAATTGAATTAGTAATTTAAAGAAAAATAAATGCATATTTAAGTTATTACTTTTTTACCTGACAAAACCCACAGTAACTTGAAAAATGAAACATCAAAAATAGAAATTTTATTTAGTTTTGCTATCATAAATTGATCATAAGTTGAACTTACTAAAAACGGAGTTTGCTTACATGCACTTTGTCATATCAATGTCATAACGCGTTGTACGACGACTTCCATCATCTCTAGCTTCAGCCTCAATAGTAATTGCCAGCGCGGGACAAACAACCTCACAAAGTTTACAAGCTATGCATCTAAAAATTTTGAATTAATGTTATTTTTGTAAGGAGAAAGAGAGAATATTAAGAATGATAATAATTACCTTTCTTCGCCTTTTAGATTATATTGGTAAAAAAAAAAAGTTGATTAATATAAAATTAATTACATTATTCATTGATATTTACCTGTGGGATATCTTCTTAATGCATGTTCGCCCCTAAATCGAGGACTTAATGGACCTTTTTCATAAGGATAATAAATAGTATAAGGAGGTCTAAAAAATTGCTCAAGAACTAACCACATTCCTCTAACAATTTCAGTTAATAAAAATAAATTTGCAGTATAATCAAGTATCGTTGGTTTTGGTGCTTTTGGTTTAGCAGTTACGGTTTTTAAAGGTTTTTGTGGCTGTGGTTTTGGAGGTTTATTATTTTGTTCAATAGGATAGCGTTGAAGTAGTGTACTGGAAAAATTACGTGAAATTTGAGGAACTAATGGACAAAAAGTTGGACGTAGACCTGTAATTTAAGATTTGATCGTAAACATGTGGAGTACTTATTTAGATCTAAACTTTACTCGAAAAACAAACTCCGAACGTCGATTATCAGGAAAAAAATATATGTACCAGCTGTTAATGATACTCTAGGTATACCACGTTTGGCAATGTTACTAAAGTGAAACATCTTAGATCTCAAAAAAAAGAAAAAAATTTCGTTAGACTAGCATTCTCGACACATCATTTTGTAATCAATTCGGTGACACAAAATGTTCAATATACATAACTTAAAATCTCATGATTTCGCTACATATTAACGTGACCAATTGTCAAATTTACAAAAATTATTTTTTCTCTATTGAAAGAATCAATCATATTAAAATTCTGAGAATTAAATAATTAATAATTTTCAAATTCAAATAAAGTGTTCATTTAAATAAATATACACATTAAAATAGTCTTAATTTGGAATTTTGAATCTCATTACCCATCATCCAGTATCTCCTTACACGCCTCATAAGTTACAAAACTCACGCCAATTGCAGGAGCAACTTTTAAATAATTAGGAACCATTCCTTTATACAATCCTTTAATGCCTTCCTGAGCAATCAACTTTTCTAATGCATCCCACGTACTGGTATATTTATACGCGACACCCGGCATCCCTGTTACCTGCATTCTTCGTCGTAGTACGTCCAAAGGGTACGTTATCGTTTGAGCAAATGTCCCCGCAAGAGCACCACACAAAAGTTTCTGTGCAACTGGCGGGGAAGTTTGACCTTTCGGAGTGAAATATTTGCGTAACACCTCATAGGAATGAAAATTCAGCGCTACATATGGAGCTACGCCCTAAAAAGACGATCGAATTGTTCAACATTCTTTATCAGTAACTAATTAAACAAATTCTATAAAAAATTAAAACATTATTATGTCTAGCATAGAATAAAAATATATTTTTACCATCAGAGTTGGTGATAATCCACGATATAATGCTACAATACCACCCTCCGTATGATAAATAATTTTCATTGTTTTCCAGATACCTGGTAATTTATTATCAACTTCTTTAATGGACAGGCTTGCAGATTGTACTGAAAGTCTTGTGCGTACTATATCAAGTGGATATGTACATGAGACAGACGTTATTCCAGCCAATGCACCTGCAGTAAGACGTCTTGGTGCATCAAGTTCACTTTTTCCTTCTTCCAAAAGAAGCTAAAAAGAAAAAACAAATACTTAAACATTGAGTAATTGATTTGATAACTGAAAGAATTCATTATGCATTATTTTATTGTTTATCGTATACCGTTAATTTTTTAAAAAAAAAGATACATACCCTTTTATATTTTTCATATGACGCAAATTGAGTCGCACTATATGGCACAATTCTTATCACATTTGTCCCGTTACCTCTCAACATGCCAACCCACCCTTCTTCTCGCCATATTTTTGCGATTGTGGGTATTATTCCACGATATGAAGCTGGCTCTGGTCCTTGTACCTATACATTATATACGCATCCATAAAAAAGAAAAAAAAGATCTAATATTGGATGGGTCCAAAAAAAATTTAAATATTCTAAAAAGAGGGGGTTTAACTAATATTAAAAGTTATTATACGCACCTGAAATAAAATTTTCATTCTCTCCAAAGGACTTACTACAGTTCTGCTTACTGCACCTGCTACTCCACCGGCAATCAAATGTTTTACTGCTGGAGAAAATATTATTGATAACCAACTTTCGTTAGAAAGCTGAGAATCCGCATCTTGTGCTTTTAAAGCCGAACTACTTTCTGGTACGCTTGAAATCCAATTAATAACTTTGGAGTCAGAAATTCTATCCTCGGATATATGATCTGAATGCAAGCAAGCAATGTCCTTATCGTTATGCTCCTCATTATTCGAGTGAAAACACATATTAATGGGACCCGAAATTTCTGCTTTTAGCAGAAAAACCGGCATAAAAACAGAATTTATGTTATTTAACAAAATCCGCAGCAAAATTGATCATCCAATAGAATTACAGGAATTTTCACATACGAATTTTTAAAAAATATTTTCTTTGCGAACAATTTGGTTCGAATATCCTAAATGGAATTTGATGTAAATTCACCAATCCAATTGTTTCCAAATATGGAAATTTTTAATTTAATTTCGATTATATAATCACCAAGTAGTATCTCGTCTTATATGTCTTAATATTCTTGTCTTACATTGCAACGTAAATATTTTAATTATTTATCCTACCCTTTTTCTCTTTTCCATGGCTCTTGATTCTCTCGAATGCAAACCAGACCTAAAAAATTTTAACACAGAAAAGACTGCTTTCTTAAAGGAATTTAATGTACAATACGGTTATGGCGGTAAAATTGATCAAATACGTGAAGAAGAATACCCTCAACTTAAAGGTAAATTCGTCTTGACAACGATTTATAAATTTGATGCTTTGATGCTTATTTCCAAATATTATAGGGGCCGTCTTCCTTGATCATGCTGCAACAACTACTTATGCCAAAAGTGTTCTTATTTCTTTCACAACTGATCTCATTAATAACCTTTACGGTAATCCTCACGCAAATTCACCTAGTTCGCAACTCTGTAATCAAAGATTAGATAAAGTTCGTGATCGAGTTCTTAGACATTTTAATGCCAATCCTGGTGACTATCAAGTTATATTTACTCAAAATGCTACAGCTGCTATTAAGTTAGTTGGAGAAATGTTTCCATGGACATCGGATCAAAGCTCTTACAAGTATTTAAGAGAATCTCACAATAGTCTTATTGGACTAAGAAGATTTGCAGAAGAAGCCGATGCGAAACTTATCAAAGCGATAACAGAGGATGATTTCATCTGCTTATTTGAAAATGATCCGAAAACAGAGTCTATACAATGTGATAATCATTATTCAACTAACGCCCTACCCCGAGTAGGGTTAATTGATTCTCCACATGGAACTCAGCAGGAATTTCAAAACACTTATCAACAGGAGACATCTATTCAAAATAATATAATTTACAACCTTTTTGCTTATCCAGCACAATGTAATTTCTCTGGATCAAGGTTTCCGTTAAATTGGATTCAGAAAATCAAAAGATTCAATAAAAATAATAATTCAAAAACCTTAGTCTTATTGGATGCTGCTGCTTATGTTTCATCATCTTTACTTTCACTGTCCGAGGTCGATACATCTCCAGATTTTGTCACCATTAGTTTTTATAAGATGTTCGGCTTCCCCACTGGATTAGGAGCATTGATTGTAAAGAACGAATTAGAACCAATACTGAGAAAAAGATACTTTGGTGGCGGCACCCGTAAATAGCTTTTTTCTTTTTACCTTAATATTCAAAGTATTAATAGCAAATAGTATATAGTATAATATAATAAATACATTTTCTTCTATAGTCGATTCAATCGTGTATGATAGACCGTGGCAGAAATTTCGTAAATCCTTGCATGAACGTTATGAAGATGGCACGGTTAATTTCCTTGATATTATTGCTCTAGACCACGCGTTTGATACATCGGAACGTCTATATAATAACTTTGATCTTATCAAAAATCATGTCACCTCTTTAATTATTTATCTTAGTAGAAGTATGAAATCTCTACGTCATTATAATGGGCAACCTGTTTGTTATATCTACTCAAATAGAGATTTTTCAAATAATACACTTCAAGGTCCTGTTTTCAGTTTTAATGCGAAACGCGCAGATGGATCTTGGGTTGGGTACCTTGAATTAGAAAGGCTAGCAAGTGTGAATAATATTCACATTAGAACAGGGAGACTTTGTAATCCAGGCAGTTCTGCGAGATGGACAAAATTAGATTCTGAAGACATCATAGATAGCTTTTATAATGGAAAAACATGTCACGACGATCAAGATATGTGGAATGGAAAACCAGCAGGAACGATTCGGATTTCTGTTGGTGCAATGACAACAATTGATGACATTCTTATATGGATGAATTTCTTTAAGAAATATTATGTTGAGATAGCACCATCTTCTGTAATGAATAACTCTATTTCATTTAGCCAAAACTTAGTATTGGAAAAAGTAACACTATGTGAGTGAATATTATTCTTTTGATTATTAATAAATTTGACAACTCATGTTAACTTTAATTCAATTTATTAGTTCCAATTAAATCATGTCATGGGTTTAGCATTTCACCATCAACTTCATGGCCTATAACTAGTAAAGGACTTATGTATGATCGTGAATGGATGTTGGTGGATGCGGGAAATGGTAGAGCATTAAGTCAAAAAAGGTAGATTTACGAAGAAATTTTTTGAAAGGATTGCCTTAACAGCTTTTGAAATATCTCTCGTTATTAGGTTTCCTCGAATGACCTTAATTTGTCCAGAAATTATAAGAGACAAAGGGTTACTCGCAGTGTCAGCTCCCGGTAAATACCATAGTATTTTATTATAAACTATTAATTAAATTTCATATTTTGAAATAATCAAAAAACTTTTAGACAAGGAACCCTTATATATTGACTTGAACATTTATCCAAATACGGTTGAATTTTCCACATGTTCTTCACAGGTTTGCGGTGACAAGTAATGTATATTTAACATTAAATTAAATTAATTAATATCATAAGGCACTGGCACAATTAATATTAAAATCATTATAAACACCTTTGCAGGATTCAGACATGTGTATACACATCATCTGAAATTAATGAATGGTTCTCATCCTTTCTTAATGTATCATGTCGTTTGGCACGACATGCATCTATGAAAGATAACAGCTTACTTCAACATCGTTTTATTAAATCATACTTTAATGTGCCTGACAACATGCATCTATCTTTATCAAATGAATCACCATTTTTAATAATATCACATTCAAGTGTTAATTATATTAATAAAAAAATTATAGAAGGAGGAAACCAAGAAGTAGAACCAGATTGTTTTCGTGGCAATTTTTTAATTAAAGGAACAAAAGAATTTGAAGAAGATCAGTGGAAATTTGTTAAATTTGATGAACAAGTTTTTAAGGTAATATAAATAATGAATATAATTCGAATATTGCATATAAGTACTTATATATATGAGATAATTTCTTAGATTATTGGTCCATGCAGAAGATGTAATATGACCTGTATAAATCATAAAACCGCTGAAGTAGCTAAAGAACCTTATTCCACATTAGCTTTATGTCGTCAATTTAATGTATGTATTTAAGCAACATTTTAGTCATCAAATACAAAATGTATATTAATATTTTTATATTTATAGGGAAAAATACATTTTGGTCAACATATGATTCATGTTCCCGAACTTTCAGAAAAACCTTACTTAATTAAAAGTAATTCATTAGTTCAAATTTTAACAGATAGGAATTTGAATAAAAAATTAAAAAAGTGGACTATATGGAATTGGTTATGGATTAGTTTAGGGATTTTTTTAATTTATATTTTTAATAAAAATATTATTAATAAAATATATAATTATATTAATTATTATTAAATAAAATATTTAATAATAAGCATGTTTACTATTTATTAAAATATAAAATAGAGTAATCTTAAGTTATTTACATATTTTTAATTGGATTTAGACAAATCCAGTTACTGGATTATTATATCTAATAATCCAATTTTATAAATCCAATTGGTTCAATTTGGTCCAATTGGTTAATACTGATTTGAAATTCTATTTTTTTTTAGATATTATAAGTTAATACAGCTTAAAAATATTATTTCTTATCCATTAAATTGTAATAACTATAGTATTACTATAAAAAATAATGGCTATTCAAATGATTATTAATTATCTTTATTAATTAAAAATCCATTTGGCTATTATTATTTACCTATAAAAATATAGATATACATCACCTTAAATAAAGCTCTGAATGGTTCAGACTAAATTGGAGAACTGATCCGAAACTGGCTCAAAATTAGGTTTGATTTAATTTGGGTATTAAAACCAAAAACTGGTGGTTCAGTTCAATTTAATCTGTTATATTATCAAACTCTTTGTAATTAAACTTTCTTCTGCTAATATTAGCTATTTTATAGTATTAATAGCAGCCAACTAATGCTAAAATATAACTGTATAATTTTCTAGTAGTGTTATTATTATAGTAAATTACTGCTATTCAGATTTTTTACTAATTGAATGCAAATCAGTAAAAGGTAAATTAACACCATCCTAGAATTTTAACAATTTGTTAACAATTGAATTTATCTTGTATAATTCTATTTTTTCTATTTTTAGAAGAAGTACAAGATATAGTATATTTTTTTATTTAAATCTAATATTACAAAAAAGATTATATATTACTTCACAGATAATACCAAAATTGTAAATTAATAAATTAAATGGTTAAAACTAGTCTAAATTAATCATGATTTCAAGATTAGAATTGGCTGCTTCATTTGTAAAAATCAAGTATCTGAGTTGTTGAAATGTTTTCCATACTTCTCCATTATAAATATCAGTATATAAATTTGCTATATTAATCTGATTTGACCATTTTTAAAGTAACTCTATAAAACTCAAACGCTAATATGATGTAGCATATATATATTCATCAAAATTTAGTGTAATCTTAAAACTTATCTAGTCCTTCATTTTGTATAAATTTCTAAATTAATACCAATAAAATGATAAATTAAGTTATTTTCTTTCAATCTATCAGTTTTAATTTAGATTTTATAATTTATTAATGGAATTATTAAAGAATTAAATTGGGTAAAAAATATATGACTTTAATAATAAACATTAAAAATTTGAAAAAATTTGAAATGATAAATTTCATATGAATTTGTGATGTAATTTGACCTTTATATATAAATAATGAATAAAGATATTGAAATCATTATTTTCTCACATTTTATTTTTATTTTTCCAATAATATTACCAGCCAAATGAGATTTTCACTTACTAAGACTTAACAGCATATCATTTTTTATAATGTATTTCTAATAAGAGCTTATTAAATTATTAAAAATTAAGTTGTAATATCTGATATTAACAATGTAATGAACATTTATTTTACTTATATGAAAGTTACATAATCAATAAAATTACTTAGATTATTATTATTTATAATAAATAACATGCAGCAGGTATTATGCATCAGTAAATTATATTCAATCAAAATTATACTAAACTTTTTATAGTAATTGTTAAACAAATATATTATATTAATTTTGCTATTAATCAATAAACTAAAGGATGAAAATATTATGTAAACTCAGAATTCCACTTATTTATAATAAAGGTCACTGTAAATAATTGGCTCTTTACTAATAGTTTTTACATTACTTTTTTCTTAAATTTTATTGGTTAATTAGTTAAAAAGGAAAAAAATCATAATAATGTAATATAAAATTTCCTTTTATAGTAAAATCTGCAAAGAATTTTATATATGATTTTTGCCTTAGGTTTAGAGGTAACTTATCTTATAAATAAGCAGAGTTCTGGTTTCTGGATGGCTAATTAATTCAGTAATTTTAGATATACATGGAATTCTATAAATCAGATGAGTATTTCTATCTTAAATACTTTTAAAATTATCTTTTCACATTTAGAATATGAAAGCACATGGTGAATAATATTACAATCACTCAGTAAAAGAAAAGTGTTCATTTTTGATATATATGTTTAAATGATTAAATAAATAAATAAATGCCATCCTAAATATTGTTGTACAAATAGTTAGATGAATAAATAGATACCATTCCATTTAATACTATATTTTTAACATATAAATGGATGGATAGATGAATGGATGGATGATTTGAATATTATTATACAAATAGTCAAATAAACAAATGGATGGCATTCTAAACATTATCATATAAATAGTTAAATAAATCAACTACATTTCAACTTTTTTGTTTAGTTGAAATAAAATCTTTTAATAATTTTACTAATTTGTTATCACTTCCAATTCTAATGCAGTTTTTGCAATTGAAAATACTATAAATTTATTTCTTTTGGAAATAATTTGTTGAATATTTTTGTTATTATAAGATGTTCTGGAGTAAATTTACTGTATGTAGTATTGCTATATTATCAGATAATTCTATTACTGTAAATTTATAAATTCTAATAGCTTTTTAAAACTAAATATTTTTAAAAGAAATCTAATGTAATAATTCCTTATTACTTTATTTTTTATAAGATTAATGACAAAATAACGTTAAATCACGTGATGAAAAGAACTTCAAGCCACTAACAAGTAACCACAAATTTGTGATGTGCAACGGCCCTATTTTTATAAATTATAGCTAATCTCGTTCATTTAATTTCATTTTTTTACGATATTAAAGTATCTATTTATTTTTTGAACTAATCTAACAATGAACACCGATATTGATAATGAAGATAGCTTGTATCCTATTGCAGTTTTACTGGATGAGTTAAGGGCTGACGATGTTAATTTTCGTTTAAATGCCATCAGACGTCTTTCAACTATCGCCTTAGCACTAGGTGTTCAAAGAACTCGGGATGAGCTTATACCATTTCTTGATGGTGAGTGAGCGATATTTGCAATTTTTACAATATTATATACTATTTTATCGTGTTTTGAGACGAAAACGTTCTTTTAAGAAATAGAAAACGAACGAATTTACTAAGCAGTAATTTTTAATAGTGATTTTTCGTTATTTACTTATACATATTTTTTTAAACTGGTTGAAGAGTAGAAATTAATTATCCTTAAACTCGATATCATCAAAATTTTTCAAAAATGATAAATTAATTATAATATGCATTCTCGTGTAGAATCCATCGATGATGAAGACGAAGTACTTTTAGCATTAGCAGAAGAACTTGGCAATTTTGTAGAATATGTTGGCGGTAAAGATCACGCGCATATTATACTTGGACCACTGGAAAATTTGGCTGCCGTCGAAGAGACTCTTGTTAGAGACAAGGTTAATTTTAAAAATAATTTGTTAATATAATGATCTGAATTTAATATTGAAATCATTTTAAAATTATGTTAATAGGCTGTCGAATCTTTGACCAAGGTTGCAATAGTTCTCTCTCAACAACAAATTGAAGAATATTACATACCGCTTATTAAACGCTTAGGTAGTGGAGATTGGTTTACCAGTCGTACTAGCGCTTGCGGGTTGTATGCAGCAGCATACCAAACTGCAACTCCATCTTCACAGGATGAATTACGATCAATGTTCAAACAACTATGCCAGGATGATACGCCAATGGTTAGAAGGGCTGCTGCTGCTAACCTAGGTGTAAGTTTAGAACGACGTATTTTTTCGTAAAATTGAATAACTATTAATATTTATGCAATCTACATGCTTTATAAATTTGGGGACTTTCTATTTTGTTTTGATAAACAGAAATTTGCGAAAAAAATTCCAAAAGAGCAGGTTGTTTTGGATATTATTCCATTATTTAGTAAGCTTGCACAAGATGAACAAGATTCTGTGCGTTTACTGACCGTTGAGGATTTAGTTGCAATTGCTGAAATTCTTACTAAAGAAGAAAGCAAAACCTATCTTTTGCAAACTTTAAGAAGTATGGTTTCAGATAAAAGCTGGAGAGTTAGATATATGATAGCCGAAAATTTCGTCAAGGTATACCATATTATCACGATATTATTATATTTATTAATTTATTCTTGTCAACTTAATGCTATATTAAAATTATTAGATAGCAAAAGCTGTTGGTGAAGAAGTAACGCGCGATGATTTAGTATTAGCATTCGTTCATTTGCTTAAAGATAATGAAGCAGAAGTAAGAACAGCCGCATCTGGCCAAGTTCCAGGTACATCGAATGATTATTTATGTTTTCCGAGTATTGTTTTTTTGAGGGTCTTTTTTTCCTAAAAAAAGTTATTCCTATATGTATTAGGATTTGCACAAAATATCGATAAACAAACAATTTTATTACACATTTTACCATGCGTTAAGGATTTAGTTACTGATACATCACAACACGTTCGAGCAAGTTTAGCCACTCAAATTAGTGGATTGGCGCCTATTTTAGGCAAAGAAGCGTGTGTAGCTAATTTTGAATAATATTATGCTTTCTCTTTTTTTTCATTTAACATGTTTAAATTATTTGTTCATTATTTTAGTACAACCGAACATTTGTTGCCGTTATTTTTGCAACTTCTGAAGGATGAATTCCCAGATGTTAGATTAAATATTATATCAAAATTGGAACAAGTAAATGAAGGTAAGAAATTATTGATTATAATTATTAAATGAGTTGAAATATTTACATTAATAAGTGATTTTCATTCCAGTTATCGGAATTGAGCTTTTATCGCAGAATCTTCTTCCAGCTATAGTTGAATTAGCAGAAGATAAGCAATGGCGCGTCCGTCTTGCAATTATCGATTATATTCCTTTACTTGCTAGCCAATTAGGCGTTGCATTTTTTGACGAAAAGTTAGGAAATTTGTGTATGTCTTGGTTGGGAGATAATGTTTATTCTATTCGTGAAGCCGCAACGGTTAATTTGAAAAAATTGACTGAAGTATTTGGAGTCGAATGGGCAAAGACTACAATTATACCAAAAGTGCTAGCAATGGGAAATCACCCAAATTACTTATATAGAATGACGACTATTTTTGCTATCACGGTTAGTACTTCATCTATAAAATATACATTATTTTTTCTATTTTATTAGTGAATTAAATAAATTGAGTTAATAATATCATTAGACAATGGCTCCTGCCGTTACTCCAGAAGTGATCAGAGATTATATTCTTCCTACAGTGAATAATTTAGTTTCTGATCCTATTCCTAATATTCGATTTAATGTGGCTAAATCCTATGAAGTCTTAATACCTGTTCTTAAACAGAGTCAAGAAACCGTAGTACTTTTAGATGCACAAGTAAAGCCCGCATTGGATAAATTACGAGAGGATTCAGATGCAGATGTCAAATATTTTGCCGAAAAGGCATTACTTGCGGGTATGTAAATCTTCATAATGAATGCTTAATTAAATATTTATATTAATTATATTATCCTTATAATTATTATAGGCTATCAATAAGTGTTTGCTATAAAAGTGCTTCCATTGTTATTTATAGGAATCAAAAGGTTATCATACTCTTATTTTTATTTTCATTTGTAACTATAGAAAAAAATTTCAATTAATTTCTTTTGCATGGAAAGTTTGGAAATGGGTGTTAAGAAATTTGCAAATGGATAGAACGTGCAAACATATATTTATGTTTATTATGAAAGGCGAACTTAATGGTTTAATAATAATATATATTATTGGAAGTGATTTTCAAGTTGCTAAATTATATATAAATATATAATTTTCGGTCTTTAAAAGTTTTAATGTGCAAAAAATTATTTATAATAACTTTGATTAACATAAATTTAAAATTTTTAACCATATAGTAACATATTTTATAGATAAATCTTTATTGTAAATTGTAATAAAAACAAAGGTAATAAGCAATTATGTTATTTGTGCCCTTTTTTGATAGTTTAATAGTTTATGTATAATATTTTTATGTTTAATTGTGAAAGTAAATTTAACCTGTTTTCGAAATTAGATTCAGGATTTAAATACATATTGTACGAAATAATTTTTAAATATGTATTTTACACAAGTAAATCCTATTTGAAATTTTTAGTGAAAGAAATATTCTTAATTTAAAAAAAAAAAATTTAAAAAAAATGCTTTATATATATATTTAAAGAATAATTTTTTTTTATAATGTACTTTCAAATAAAGGCATATTGATTTTATTAAATTGCTATATATAAATAAAGTATATATATCAACTACTAGTAACATCATCAGTCTAATTATTTAATAAGAATTGCACAAAATTAATTTATATAAGAAGTAATAAATTCTTTTAGTATAAGGAAAGAAAGGAATATCCCCATATTTCAAAAATAGGACCAATTATATATTATAAAATTCTTTCTAATAACTATAGATCTTACATATTTAAAAGTTTTTTATATTTAATTTAACTACTATAAAATTTTTTTTTACTTACAACAGTCTTACAACCAGTGCATCTACTTTATTAAACTAAAAAGTAAATTTGTTTTGTCTAATTCTAATAGTTTTATTGAAGTTTAATGCTTAAAAATAAAAGAAAAATTATGGAATCTTAATTTATATTTTTGAGTTTTTATATCAAAATCAAAGAAAAAATGACAGAGTAACAAAATTTTACAAATGACTAACAAATATTTACTGTACTTAATACCAAATGGTTAATCAATTAATAAACACAAATTCATTAAATTTATTAATAATTCGTAATAAAAAGATCAAAGGAGAATAAATAATTTTTTTATAGTTCATTTTTCTAAATAAACTTACGTACTATTATTACACATTAACTAAAAAATAATAATAATTCTTACTAACATATAACAAAATCAAACAACTTTAATTTTAATCACAAATAAATACTTCACATTTTACGAAAACATATGGATGAATAAAATGAACTATAATTTTAATATATGTCTCTACAATTTCTTTTCTTTTTTTTTTCATTCTATATAATATCAATCAACGAAGAGTAACATATTAATATTAATCGTCGTATTCCATCTACATCTATTTTTTTTAGTCTAAAGTCTCTTCAGACTACGTTTCTTATCGGCTTGTTTTTTATCCAATTTTTTATCACCGGCTCTTTTCTTTGGTGTTACAGTAGGATTATTTGAAGCCAGTTGATTATCATTCGAATTCACAGAAGTAGGACTCTTTTTAAGGTGATTATGATTACTATTTGCACCACCATTATTCATCGCATTGGGAGATTTCGATTCATTCATTGAATTCGATACAGTAAGTGGAGTGATTAGAGCAGGAATATTCATTGTAGAAGAATTATTAATTGAATTAGTTGTATTAGAATTATTTGTCGTCATCGTATTAGTTTCTGTTGTAGATGCAGTGATCTGTTGTGAAGTAGTTTTCGTCATCATCTGTGAAGAAACAAATTTTTTCGGTGAAGAAGTGGATGGAGATGTTGTAGAAGTGATAATAGTAGTAGGTGAAGATGTTGTCGAACTATTATTGTTAGAGATATTGGAAGAAAATTCTGCTGCCTTATTTTGAGCATGTATTTTCGTCATCAGACGAGCATGTTTTGCATAATCATCATAATTTTCTAAAAGAAGTTTTCCGGCTTCTTCATTAAGTGCTGATTCTGGATTAGGAGCGATCAAGAGACATTTGACGGTCTTTTGATTCTTTTTTAGTAAGTAACTGTGAAAAAGTAAACGTAAAGTTTATAAATGATAACATACCAGTAAAATACGTTCAACCCCTGAATCTTTATTCCAATCTTTTTTCAAAGTATTAACACATACTTCACCAGATTTCGAGACATTAGGATGAAATAATTTTGTAATAAAATAGCCTAAATGTTTTTAAAACGAAATCCCCACAAAAACATCCAATCGAAGAAGAATTACAATTAATTATCATGTAAAAAAATAAAAAATAAAAATAAAAATATCAAGGATGGAAACTTACATTTTGGTGGGGCTGCAGGAAAATCAGCTCCTAATACCAATTTTACTTTAAAGTAACCTCCTTCATATGGTGTACTCTCTAAATAAAAACCGAATCATTCATTTTTAAACAAAAGAAAAAAAGCATAAGAACCTCTATAATATCATAAAGTATAAAAAACAATTTCCCATAATAATATGTCTTATAAAAAGTTTATTAAGGTAAAAAATGTTTTAACTAAAATTATATCAAAATAAGTTACCAGGTCCATAGATCCATGCCTGAACGTCACAGACGTCTGATTCATTTACTATAACTTTGATACCTTCCGGAGGTTGTGCAACAAGAGCATTTATCTCTTTTGAAATCCTCTTTATCACTGAAGGTGAGATGTTTTCAATGGCGGACTTTATTATCAATGTCAAGAAAAGGCAACAGTTATTCAAACAACAATTATTCATAAATTTATCAACAATAAGAAAAAATTACCAAAGACATAATGAAATAAGTCGCGTTAGTATATTTCAAAAAAAGGGAAATTTTGGAAAGTAAAAACATGACAAAAAACATACCATGTCTGTACAAAAATGATTTTTACGAATTAAAAAAATATAGTTAAAATTGGGTTATATATTTTTTCACGAGACTAAGCTAGCTCAAAAAAAGTTAATACTCACTTTTTTTTACAGGGTTTACACAAAAATATCAAAAGAGGTTGTTTTTCAAATGTTTTTATTTATTTTTCCTTAGTTGTTTGCAAAATGCCAAAAATCTAACGATCGTCACGTGCAAATACATATGCGCAAACATATCATATCTGATATGTCTATCAAGATGCATGCCCGCAACTCTATCGACACTTTTGCCGGTAATATCTTAATTATTAAATGCTCTTTTTTTTTGAAACGAGCTTTTCTTACTATATGAGTGAAATTGTGAATAATAAATTTCAATTATATATAGTTTTTTGTATGCTCTTTTCCTAAAAGAAAAAACATAAGAATTTTATGGATTAAAATTTAAAATGCGCTCTTTGTAAAACTTAAATCGACTCGCTTAATTAATTATACCTTTTTGGTATGCATAAATTGTTATAATTAATACATCAAACCTTACGATTCTGGGCTATTATTTTTTTCTTTATTCCATGCAACATTATTATTATATAAGAGAGAATGTACAAATATCGATTTTCATATGGAAACCAACATATCGTTATGTCGGAGTTTGATCGTATCAAAACCAATTCCATCGATACTTTTGCATTTAAAACTGATCTCATAATTCTTCCATACTATACGGTATACCTAAGTGATAATAAGAAAAAATCCAAACACAATGATTCAATAGAACAAATTTTTCAAGGTCATATTCTAAGTTGAATCAAGTTGACAATTTATAAAGAGAATTATTCAACCAAACATCAGAGAATTTAAGAATTATTTTCAATTTTATTAAAAAATTTTGTTTTTTTTTTAACTAGCAATACTTTATACTACTTATTTAAAGCTCTATTAAACTTCAAGAAAAATTATAAATTTACTATAATGCATATTACCTACCTAATTTAAAGCTTTATAACTGAAGTTACAACTTACATGTTACAAAATATATAAGCACAAATATAAAACTTTAAATATTAAATTGATCAAAATATTTTTTATACACGCAAATGTAATTTTCAATTATAACTTAATGTACCTGCGTCTATTGCACTACCCAAATTTATGTATAAATTTAAAAATGGAAAATTTAAAACTATTTTTTATGGAAATAATAAAATTTCATGAAATAATAGTAAATAAAAATTTTTGCTATCTATGTAATAAATATTTAAATAAAACATTTTGCCCTTTCTAATTTCACTATTTACTAAAGCCTGAGTGTTATAGATGAGATTTAACTTCTTGTATCTAGTGTTGCTGCCCGAAACTCATTTAACAATAAAATTCAAAAATCCGAAACTCAAAAATTTATTTTTTAATGAAAAAATTGGTAAATCTGAAACTTTCCTAAATTATAATTAGTTTCGGAAAAGCATAAAAATAGGTTAGGCAATTAATTTTATTATAAAAACTAGTTTCAGATTGAATTTTCTTAAAATAAAAATGGTATGAAATAAGTCTATAACCTACATTTTTGTTTTTAGATTTAGCATTTTCAATTTTAATAGATAATCGCAAAAAAAATACTAATTCTATATAATTACAGAAACAATTCTTCAATAAATTTTTTAAGTATACTACTAAATTTAGTATTTGGAAATAATCTAATTATTTGATTAATTAATAATTCTCTGTCATAATAAATCAGCATTTTTCATTTAGATCATTTGTAAAATGACAAATGCCAAATAATTTAGAATTATACCAAATAATATCAATTATTTGTTATTTAGCCATTTGTTATTGTAATTCTGTAATTCTGAAAAATTATTAGACAATTCCTAATTATTGAATTATATAATTTGTGAAAAATACCAAATTTTAACTAGTATTTAAATTGTTTGCTTAGATTATATACAATATAAACAATAAATTTTTTTATTAAATTATTTTTAAATTTGCATAAAATAGTAAAAAATAATACTAAAATTTTAATTAATTTTTAAAGAATGTTATATAATAATTACAAAAATAATTTATATTTATAAATATAAGTAGTTGGAAAAATAAAATCAAAAAATGCAATATTTATTTTTTTAGATATTTTTTTCTATATGGTATAATATTTTAATAATTATACTTGATTATATTTAATTTTTATTGTATATAATTTATTTATTTAAAATAATTTAAAAATTATAGGATTTTAATTGTTTAAAAGATAAGAAAATCATCAAATTAGTAGATTACTTTACAGAAATCTCAATGAATATCAAAATTGAATGTTATTTTGATATAATATCATTATGATATCATTACAATATAACTACTATATAATATCAAAATAATATTAAATAATATTTTAATAATATTAAATTAATATTGTAGTAATATCTTAACAATATCAAATTGATATTATAGTAATATTGTTAACAATATCATGTAGATTATTTTAACAACCTTATTTTAATATTTATTATAAAATATCAAAACAATATCATTACAATATTATATTTAATATATTGTAATAATAAATAATATTAAAATGATATTAATATCATTTATAATATTAAAAATGAAACCATTAAAATAATCTTAATAATATTATTTAAAATTTTAAGATTTTAATAAAAAATAATTAAAAAATTATATAATATAAAAATTTTTTATTACTATAAAAAATTCTTTTTATATAGTAAATAAATAAAATATTTTTCAAATCTATTATTTGACAATAAGGCCAATATTAAATTTTGCAACTTTTGAATTTATTAATTATAAATAAACAAGTGTATAAATAGCAGTATAGCAGACATTCCTATTTTATCACAATTTTACTGATCATTTGCCAATCATTTGTCGATTATTTTAAATATATCATGCAAAAAAAACTTAAATTTAATTATAATTTATTGTATATTAAATTTTATTAGAATTAGATTGTTATTGAGTGACTTTTCTTAGTAGCAACTTTTTAACTTTTATTATTGTTTGAAATTTTTATTAAATTTTAATGAATTGTTAACATATATTTTATGATATATATTATTTATTAAATTTTGCGATTTATTTAGTTTTATAACATCAATTTATTTAATTTTGTGGCATTAATTTATGTAATTTTGTGGTATTTACTTAATTTTATGATACTGATTTATTTGATATTTATTTATTTATTTTGCAAAATTATTTATTAAATACCCTACTAATAAAAAATCTGTTTAATGAATTGTATTACTATTTTATTTTTAATATATATTATATATAAGATAGAGAATATTTATGCAAAGTTTCAAGTTTTGCCTATGCATATTCACCTTCATCCATTAATTTTTGTCTAATGATCTGCAAAAATGACTAATTATCACATATGAAAAAATGTATTATAGCAATATAAAAAAATTATACTAATAATCACATAATTAAAATTATATGATAATTTAGCACTTAGCTTGGATTTCCATTATTTTTTTGCCATATTATTTTAAAATTATTTGTAGCTTTTTAACAAGTTTTTAAATTTGGAATTATGTGATCGGTAAATGATTGGCAAGATGATATATATTTATTCATTATACTATAAATAGTCATCATCAATTAAAAGAATAATATTATGCTTATATAATTTATAATTCTAAAAGTTCTTATATTTCAATAATATTAAATAGTTGTATTATTTCTAATAAAGAAAAAAGGTTTATCTATAGTATTATATTAAATTAATCTTTAAGAAATCTCTTATTATATATAGTCATCATTCTATTTAAAAATCTAGTAATAGTTAATCATTTTATATATAATTATATAATATTGCTAGGTTGCTTGTCTAAACTTCTTCAAAATCCTACGATTAGTTTCGTCAAAATTTTACTATAGATTTATTATAGTTTCGGCAGAGTTTTAGCAGTTTCGCCATTTATAATAAGTTTTGGCAGTTTCGTCTTTCTCCAAAGTTTCGCCAGTTTTTTAATATAACTTTAATATAGTTTCGGCAGAATTTCACTTTTTGGTGAAACGCCATCTTGCCTAAATCCCTAGGTTTCAGCAAGCAACCTTAGATATTGCATCAAGCCATCAATAGCTTTTTTCTAAAAGTAAGATGATTTCTAATGCATATATATAATTAAATTATAATACTAATAATTTTTAAAAATTCTATACTTTTATTGCTTCAATTTTTAATAAAATTTAGCCAGAATTTTTTTTTAAAAAAGCCAATCAATTATAATTATTAAGTATTAAAACAAAAAAGAAAAATTAAAAAATTGTTTCATTACAAAGTATAAGCAATGATTTTTTTATATATTTTTTTTATTTTTATACATAAAATTATCTTATCCATTACTTTACAAATAAATATTTCTTTGCATTTTAAAAATAGAATATTTCTAATTACATTTTTAAAAACTATAATCAATTGGCTTTCAAATAAAAAAATTTTGTTCAAATTTTATTATAAATTCATAAATTTTTATGCAGTTCAAAAATCATTAATTTTACTATATATTACTAAGTAAATTTTATGAAATTCAGTAATTTAATGTAAAGGTTTGTATAGCAAAGAACTAAATATTTATTGTTATTAAACTGATAGAATAATATATAAAGTTTAGTATTTTCTTATTAGTTCATTAACAATATTAGGAAATAATTAATAATGCCTGGTTAATTAAAATTTAAAAAACTTTAAAAATAAGCATTATGTTAAGTCCATTATACTTCATTATTTAATAATTTTGAATTTACACATATAAATTATAGTGAAAAAATACTATTGGTACTTTCTTTAAAATTAATTAGTTTATAACTTCAACCAAAAATGATTTTTTGAATTATTATAAACATAATATAATACTATAATTTGCTATAATTTTTACATTTTATTAATACTAATTATAACTAATATAATTGATTTTACTTATAATGTAATATTTTAATAATGATTTTTTAATTTTACTGAAAAGTATAACTAATAATACAAATATATATCAGGAATTATAGAATGATTGTGTTAGCTCTATTAATGACTTGGATTTGATAAATTTATATGTCATAAACATATAATCTTTTTAGACATTCTTTTTATTGGTAAATTATATCAATAATTTGATTAAAAATTGTTTTATTAGAGAAATTGCATTCAAATATTTTATATCATATACTAACTAAAAATGGTAAATTAAGAATTAATTATAATTTAAGTTAATTAATTAGTTAATTAACCATTATTTAACTATTAATTAATTTTATAATTCTAGTCAAATATTATTAATTTTGTTAATTTAATTATAATCAAATAATTTAAATCTCTTTTTAATTAGTTAATTTATAATTAATTAAATTAATCATTAATTAACCAATTTTAGATAAATATAATTAACTAAATTATTAACCTTCCATTCCTATGTACAATTCCATCTTTATCAACTTTAATGCATTTTCTTTTTAAAGAAAATCCAGAAAACTTTGCATATTGATTAAATTTTATTTTTGCATTCTTTTATATAGAAAAAATAGTATTAACTTTAATTCTTTCTATTAGAGTAGAATTATAATTTTATTATTTAGTTATTATTATTTATTTAAGATATTATATAGATTTTCATTATGTTTATTTTCATCTATACTTATTATGATGATGAAAAATATTAAATAAGTATTTGTAATAAATATATAATAAAAATTAAAATTTAGAGAAAAGTAGTATTTACAAAAAAGTAGTGTTTAACAAGAAAGTAAAGAAAATATGAGTTTTATTTAATTAACATTTAACTATAAATTTTAATAATAAACATCAAACAATATATTAAATTACATTATTAAATTCAAATATTGCAATAAGATATTTTGTATTAATTATTATTAAATTTAAATAATAAACACAAAATTCTATAATAATAAATCATGTAAATAGTTATTATATAATACTAGTGATTTTAACCATCTATTATTTGAAATAATTATCTATTGATTTATTAATATATTATAGTAATAGTAATTATAATATAGTAATTTATTTTAATTTATAATATATTACTTTGAAAATTACAAAAATTTATTTATAAAAATTTTTTCTATTATTTTTTTTATTTATCTTATTTTACTTTCATATTTTTTTAAAAAATTTGGTATTATTTGACCAATTAATAATATTTAGCTAATAATATGTATATTAAATATATTAATTTTTTTATAATATAACAATTTAATAAAAAAAAATTTGAAAATAAATTTTGTTCTAGTAATTTAAAAGTATAGGAAATATTATTCAAAGTTAACCATCCATTTCATACACTTATAGGTAATTTCTATTTTAAAGAATTTGGTTTAATATAAGCAAATTCATTATATAATATTTAAGTTGTATATTAAACTGAAAAGAATTAAATTCATTGATCTGCAGTTTTTTTTATTACTTTTAAAAAAACAATTTTTAAATTTACTTTATTTTATATATATTAAATATATTAATTTTTTTTATAATATAACAATTTAATGAAAAAAATTTTGAAAATAAATTTTGTTCTAGTAATTTAAAAGTGTAGGAAATATTATTTAAAGCTAACCATCCATTTCATACACTTATAGGTAATTTTTATTCTAGAGAATTTGGTTTGATATAAGCAAATTCATTATATAATATTTAAGTTGTATATTAAACTGAGAAGAATTAAATTCATAGATCTGCAGTTTTTTTTATTACCTTTAAAAAAACAATTTTAAATTTACTTTATTTTATATATATTAAATTATATACAATTATTTAAAATATTATATTTATTAAAAAATAATAAAAAATAATATAATAGTAAATAAATTATCAATCAATCAAATTCTTATGCAAAAAAAATATATATATTATAATTAATAACTTTCAATTATATAAATTATATAAATAAATAAATAAATACTCTGAGTTGATTTACTATAAAATAAAATAAATAAATAAATAAATAGATAAATAAATGAATTAAAAATAAACAATTATATAGCAATTTATTAAATATCAGAAAAGAAAATAAAAGAAGTTATATATTATATATAGATGGTTTTTTCAAATATAATAATAAATTATCTTAAGAATTAGATATCAATTTAAGTATTTATTTATAAATATTATATTTATTATATAAAATATCATGTAAAAGTCAAAGTAAATTTTTTTTTTTTAGGTATCATACATCAGTAACAATTCTCTTAGCTTTACTCACTACTTTTGACAGATGTAGTAGTTTATGTTTGCATAAATAGTGAGTATGTTAGTTTTTTAATCTTATATGATAATAATTTTTTTTTATTCTTTTAATATAAATAAATAATGCAAACTAAAAAATAGTAATATACTTTTCATGTTATTTATTTAACAAAACAATCTTTTTCATTATAAATTAATTAAGTACTTTCTGACAAAAAGATAATTTTTGGCTATGATCTCTTAAAGTAAATTTGAAGGGCAGTAATTTTAATTATTAACTAAAAGCCAAATCTTTACTTGATGAACTATAATCACTTTTTTTTGTTATTATTGATTACTTTTTTTCAATATATTATTAAAATATATTAAATATCATTATATCAATATACATTTTTTTTTCATGTTTTAAAAGTTTTAATCCATTACAAATTGTATTAATCTATAAATTATTCATTAAATATATTAAATATGCTTTTTTTTTTTTAATCCATCACAAATTGTATTAATCTATAAATTATTTTATTAAATGTATCTTTATATAGATCATCAACTTTTATCACTGTGATATTTGATCCTTAAACGTACATACAGTCGTACATACAGTGTTTCAGTGATATTCTCTAGTGTAATACTGTACGTGATACTTTTCTTCTTAATATAATAAATTAGATTTTTACTGATTTTACTGTAGTAATTCTACTTTACGGTATAGCCGTATAGAGAAAAGATACCAATTGGTTAAAATCCAATGTATATTATTTATATTTTTATCAAGTAAAAGCATCAGTTGTTTGGCCAAAATCCTGTTAAAATATATATGTTTTGACAAACATACTTTTTTTTTTATTTTGAAGAAAAATCAATTTCTTTTTTTTTTTAAAAAAAAATGAAATGATAATTTTATTACTTTTAAGGACAATTAATAATATGAAAAGTAATATGTACAGTATTATATTTTCACATTATTGAATCCAATTTCAATAATTTGTATCAATATAAATAACAGTTTCACAAAAGTTTTCAATTATCCAAGAATTTTTTTTAAAAGAAATTCGCATAAAAAAATAATTCGCAAATAAATAATTCGCAAATAAATAATTCGCAAAAATAATTCGCAAATAAATAATTCACATAAAATAATTCGCATAAAAAAATAATTTACATAAATAAATAATTCGCATAAAAAAATAATTCGCATAAATAAATAAACAAGAATTCGCATAAAAAATCAAAAATTTGCATAAAAAAAAAATAAAACAAACATACTATCACTTCTATAATCGGAATACTATAATATATACATGGTTTCAATTCACAATTATGTTTTCCTTTTAAAAAAAAAAAAAATACAAAAAATCAATCCCGGGACAACCGTCTACTGATCTTCAACTTGTCATTCATTCCCAGTCAATTAAACTAATCGGAAAATAAATCAATGAATTTCAAAAAATTTTAAAACGTGTGAGAAAAAAAAATAATTAATTTTAAATATTTATAAAATTAAAACTAATTAAATTGTTTTTTTAACACGGACCAACATTTGATTATCATAACGTCAAAATGCATTGTTTATTTAAAGATCCGCAGATTATGGGCTGAAATAAAAAAAAAATATCATTTGCACAATAAATGACAATAAATGTTGTGTAATGTATATAAATATAAATATACAAAAAATCAGGATAATGAAATGGGTGGCTTTTTATTAAATTTCATTCTATCGGGAAATACCGAAATTCATAATATTATCATAAAATTATTTAGCGTGGGAGTATCCCTTTTAGAAAGGTTTATTTATTTTATGACGAACTTGTCTTTTTATTTCATAAATCATATTAAAATTGGGGAAATAAACAAACAGATAAATTGCATGATTATACATGTATTTAATATATCAATTAATTTAACGCAACATGAGGGGATTGATTTTCAAATGTTTTTACTTTTACAAAATTGGTAATTATTCTTAAAAAGGTTTAATATCGACATGAATGAAATCAGGAATAATTTATAATTTATACTTATATAAATTCGCGAAAATTTATTTTATAAAGTATATAAATTTTTACAATAAATGAATGTCATATTTGACATTTAAACAAAAATCGTGTAACCGTTAAAACATGAATTTTCCTAAATGAACTTGTACACTCTTTACTTGAGTATATTCATTTAACGAAGATTCTCCTAAAAAAAGTTAAATCATTTTTATTAATTTGATAATTTAAAATCTACTTTATTTATTTATATCTTACCGCCTTCTCTGCCTATACCGCTCTCTCTGTATCCTCCGAATGGTCTATTTTTAAGTAATTAACGACATTAGAATAAAGAATATCACATTAAATGAATAACGCATTAGAATAACGCATTAGAATAACGCATTAGAATAACGCGTTTTTAAGTACTTACACGTTTGGTTCATATAATCCATAACAATTAACTATATACATGGAAATACATGGAAATACAAAAAGAATTAATAAAGAATTACGTTACGATAAAAAACACATGATTGGAAGATTATATACCCCAAACAGTTCCAGCATTTAATTCTTTAGAAATTTTTAGAGCACGTGTAATATCTTTAGTAAATACCGCAGCGGCCAATCCATATCTAGTTAAATGAGCTTTTTCAATGACTTCTTCAACAGTAGAAAATTTCGATATCGCTGCTACTGGACCGAAAATTTCCTCTTGCATAATAGACATTTTCTCATTCTATAATTATTTGAATTATTATTTAGAGTTTTCGAAGAGAAACTTAGAACATTATTAAATACTTACCGTATCAGTGAAAATTGTTGGTTTAATGTAATAACCTTTTTCACCTTCTCTTTCACCACCAATTAATAAAGTAGCACCTTCTTTCTTTCCAGCTTCAATAAAGGACATAATTCTATAAACGAATTAATCATGCGTAAGTGTATTATTATTACTTACGGCAAAAAGCGTAATCTTAAAAAAGCAAACTTACTTATTGTAATGAATTTGAGAAACTTGAGGACCTTGAAAAGTATCCTCTTTAAAAGGATCACCAACTTTTGTACCTTCAGCACGCTTTTTAAATTTCTCTAAAAATTCATCATAAACTGAATCTTGTACATATATACGTGAACCGGCTACACAAACTTGACCGGAAGAGAAATAAATTCCCATATGAGCCCATTTAACTGCTTCATCTATATCTGAATCGGCAAAAATAATATTCGGAGATTTCCCTCCTAATTCCAATGTAACTTTTTTCAAGTTAGATTCCGCCGAAGCTTTAAGGATAGATTTACCTACAGGAACGGAACCTAAAAAATCGACAAGTTATGACAAGTTATGACAAGTTATGACACGTTATGGCAAACGTTAAGGTGATTATTTACCGGTAAAAGTGATTTTTCTGAGTTTCATATGACTTGCCATAGCAGCACCAGCAGTTGGACCATATCCTGATAAGATGTTTACAACACCTTTTGGAAAACCAGCTTCTTTAATTAAAGCTGCTACTTTAAGAGCAGATAAAGGAGTAAATTCGGAAGTTTTTAATACGATAGTATTTCCACAAGCCAAAATTGGAGCCAATTTCGTAGCTTGCATCATTATTGGAAAATTCCATGGAATAATAGCACCAATAACACCATAAGGTTCACGTTGTGTAAAGTCGAATTTATCAGATTCAGTTTGAAATAACTTTTTTAAAATATTTTAATATTTTTTTAAAAAGGAAGAAAAAAAAAAGAAATAGTAAAATATGAACATTTTTTTATTATTATTATTATTTTTTACCTCTCCATTAATTTTATCAGCAAAACCAGCATAATATCTATAGGTTTTAATAGAAAGTTGAATATCAACAGCTTTGGTAAGCAAAAAAGGTTTACCATTATCCAAAGATTCAATGGCGGCAAGTTCATCAATGTCACGTTCCATCAAGTCAGCCAATTTATTAATTAAACGACCACGATCATAACCAGAAACTTTACTCCAAACTTTAACATAAGTTTCAGTAGCAATATCGATTGCTTTATCAACATCATTAGACAATGCTTCAGCTACAGTAGTAATAACTTTTTCAGTTGCAGGATTAATAGTTTCAAAACGTTTTCCATCGATTGAATCAACGAATTCATTATTAATGAATAAACCCGTGTTTACTAACAAGGGGAGGGAGAAATAAAATTTAATTGATCGATCGATCGAAGTAGTGTAACGAGGGAATATAATATACCTTTGATAGTCTTTCCTGTTGGCAAAGTAATAGATTGTTCATTATTAGAAGACATGACCACAAAAAAAATCGTAAAAAGAAAGTTATATGATAAAAGAAATAATTGACAGTATTTATATAGTCAAATTGATAGTAATTACGTAAATGACTATAATATTAAAAGAAACATATTTCTCCAAGTGGTTAAGATTGAAAAATAGAATTATCTCTAATAAAAGTAATAATTTACCATAATTTACCAATTACCATTATTTAAGCGAGAATTAAGAACTGTTTTGGAAGGTAGATCCCAAAGCAATAATTTAATTCAAATGCATTCATGATTTTTTGCATATTTTTTTTTTTTCGTTAAAAAAAAATTTGGTCAAATTTTTTTAAGATCGGATCTCCATAACAATAAAAAAAATTACAAATATACAAAATATACAACAAATAATAGTACAAATATGTCACAATATTACAAAGTAATGTATAATATGATGAATAATAAATAATAATACATGAAAACCTGATTAAGTAAATGAAAAAAAAATGGGGCTTTTTTTTTTTTAACAATATCTTTTTTATTTTTTTATTTTTTATTTTTTTTTCTTTATTTTATTTAAATGGTAAATATTAACACATTAAGCATTCTATCGGGGAGGACCGAAAAAAAAAGCAACAAAAAGAGCCACGTGTGAAACTAATAAATTTTATGAAAATCACACAAAGTTATAAAGGAATGACTGAGTATTTTCACCACTCATTGTATAACAAGTATCAACATGAAATTTTAGTGGTGAATGACTAATGCATTTATTAATGTAACAAATATATAACAAGTTAGTTCATTTGACTACAAAAGTATTTTATGTATATAATATACGGTAATATATTACGGTAATATATTACGATATATATTTCATTTTTTTTTTTTTTTTACTTTAATGACTTTATGTCCTCGGAGGTTTGCAGTATTTTATTGCTTACGTAGTTAATTTGACGCAATGGAAACACAAACTAATCTTGCAGGGAATATCTTCATTCTTTTTAATTTAATCGAATGATTTTTTTATTTCTTTTTCTTCCCTTAAAAAATATTGGTGAATACCGAGATTTCGGGGCGTAATTTTTTCAAAAAAAAAATACCTTTTTATTTTCGTTCTTTATTTTATCAGATTATGCAACCTTAAAAAAAAAAAAATAATAATTAAAATCTTTTTTTTTTAACTTTTTTTTTTTTTCTTTTTTCTTTTTTTCTTTTCGATCAAATGTTTGTGGTCGGACAATCATCATCAAATCAATCTGTTAATCAAACCAATTTTTGACAATCACACAATTTTTTTTAAATGATAATTATTTTTGTTAGCCATTGTTGATAAAGTGCATTTTTAATTAATGATTTATGATTTATGATTTATAATAATTTTAATTAACCGCAGTACTGCAGTAAGTAGTAATATAAAAAAAAAAATTGGCGGCTCAGTTGGCTGTAAAATTTCTCATAATAAACTTATAGAATGAGATTGTCTCACCAGAAGAGGCACATGACCATCAACAAGTCAACAAACATGGGAGTCCCGATTGTAAAGTTCTTTTTTATGTTGTACGACACAAGATTTTTTTTTATGTTCAAATGTTAAAAAAGATTTATTTTGCCAATTTTAGGGCACTTTGGAGACCAAAAGGGAAAAGTACAACGGCTTTATTGTTGTTCTCCTGCATCATCCCACATTTACTTACGTATTATGGTATTAACCGCTTAGCCCAATTACTATAATTTATTACTTTTTAATTGGCTATTTTACTTTACTTATCAGTAATTTGTTGTGATCATCATTTTTGATTGTTACAACGCATCATTCACATAAAAAAAAACGCCTCCTTTGTATGATTTTAGTTAAAATGAGTAACATTACTCACACCCCCTTATTTATTTTTATTGTATCGCATTTAACCTTTTTCTCAAATTCTCAAACACATATAATAACACCAATTTCAAACTTCTTTTTCTCCAATTTCTACTGTACTTGTATTTTTTTTTTCCCATTCCCTAAAAAAAAAAAAAAAAAAAAAAAAA